AACTCGCCCCGGCAATTGCGCCAGATGTCGTCTCGTCTCGATACCTCTACGTCTATGTAGTACCGATAAGGTCACGGGATCTTGGGACTAGATTCGCTCATACGTAGTAGACATCATCGCCGGCGTCATCCCGACTTGGAATATCGCCATCGTCGCCTTTTCGCTGTTTCCTTTATTTCGAGATGGCGACTAATTGCATCGTTGTTGCCTGCCTTTTGCCTACACGTGTAAGGTAAGTGGCTGTAAGCCCCGTGCTGTTCCTACCAAGAGGTAGGTACTTTATGCATGTCGTCTTGTCGTCCGGAGATTAGATAGAAGGTACATACTGTTCGCCCCATCCTTCTTCATCCGATAGTCTATCGTCGTCCATCGTAGTTTATTGGCATGGCACAGCTGCGGTCCCGTCATTGCAAAACGTGTGGAGGCAGCGTGAAGTTCCACTCACACACCATGCCGAGGTTTGGGCTTGGCCAATGCGAGCACTTCCACGCATCATGAACCTTGCTGGCCACCACCTTACCACTACCACTTCCTTTGTTTGGGAACTGATACGCGATAAGAATCTCGATGTCTGTCTGAGAACCTTATCGCCGGCCACGGCGCTCACTGTCTTTCAAACCATCAGATTCGACAGCGTTGATAACCATGATCAACACCCTCTTGTTGATGCGCTAACAAAAGACACGCAGTGTGTGTGTGTGTGTGTGTGCACGCCCCCCAACTTCATCCGAATGACCTGCATTTTGTGGGGTAAAAAGGACTCCCGCCGGCAACTTGGACTCGTCCAGCCCCAAAAGAGATCTCGAATTTAAGTGTGGCAGTCCTCGACAAATGTTGAGTTTCCAGGCTGGCAATGGTGCAACTGATTGCTCGATGCTCATAGCGGCAGGGGGTACAGTGTGGCTGTTTTCGACAAAAGATCTTGAGCCCTCGTCGGCGAACGTCGTGAATGCTCAGAAAGCTGGGGAAGTATATGCGGCTAGCTTGTAAGTTTCATCTTCACATCCCGAAGAGCAATGGCGTGAATTGTCCCATTCCTTTCCCATAAACATCGAAAGTGGCAGCGTGGCATCTCTCCTTTTCTGAAACAAGAAACACGCGTGTGCAGTGTACACTACGTATCGCCGGGCGGCGCAGGCAAATTGCCAATCGACAGCGGCTGTTGCTATTTTCGCAACCCCCGAACAAGAAAGTGAGCAACGATTTTGATTGAAGGAGAGGGCGCTCATCAATGAGGATTGCAGGATGGCCATGCGGAACCGCAGCAAGGAGGATGGATGGGCGCGTGCGTTCGTGCTTTTTTTTTATATCATTACAGTTCCCTTGCTGCTTGTCGGTGCCTGCCTCCTTGCCTGCCGCGTGGAGTGCCGCTCGCTCACCCGCTGAAAGAGCAAAAAGAACGAATAAGAATGATCCAGGACGCCATACACAAGAGACGCAAGATGTCGTTTTGCTGCCGCTGACCAATGACTGTGGAGTAGAGAGCGCGAGCGTGTGAACTGAAACAGTTGAGAATGTTGGGAGTTGACGGGCTGCGTTGTTGATTGACGGGATGGGCAACCACGGCAACCGGGAGGAACGAGGTCTCCATCAAACCCAACCCAAGATCATCTCTGGATGATTTCAAAAATGGAAACCAGCTAGAAGAACACGAATACAGTCTGGACAAGTGGCAGCTTCGTGTTGAGATGAGAAGATTGACTGGCGATGACTCCGACGTGATAGCTTTGAGAAGCTACCCATGCTCATTGCCCAATTGATTACAGGTTTCTGCCACTGACTGGGCTTTTGCCTCCCAAGTGGAAGCTCCGTTCTCGCTTGTGCCCCTTACATTCGTCCCGCCGTACCGCAGCAGAAGTGTGCCAGTGCTGCGTACGTCCGCACCCCTAGCTTCCTCCCACGTTTTTTGCCAGGCCACCCCTCTTCGGTCTCGTTTGGGATTTCAAAGGGTTCAGGTCAGATGTGCGATTTTGACAGCGATGCCTTTGTCGCGGTTGTCCTGAATTCATGCGATGATGGCGTTCACGTTCGATGTGACGGCAGTTGATGACCATCCAACTCGGCTCGTCTTCCCATCCTGGCAATTGACGTTTGGAGGCCTTGAAATTTCCAATACGACAATCTAACGTAAATTACAAGACGCTAACCCTAATACAGCAATATGTCACTAATACGGATGATCAGGCGGGGCATCATCATCATCAGAGGTAACTCCGTAATAACGGCCCTGGCGTTTGAAAAGCAATTCCTGCGACGCTGCAGCATATCTGTCAGGATAGCAATGGCTTCCTGTTGCCGACACCTGGCAGCGGCAACGACAGCGACAGCAAAGACGGGAGATCTAGGAAAGCTGTTCGAGCACGTGGAGATGCAACGCAACACTGTTGAATCGCCATACATCCTTATCAATGGCCGAGAAACGGACAGATAGTCCAGTCTGATAGACGGCGGACGCGAGGAAACCTGGATCGGCGGTGTACGGAGTTGAACCTCTACGGCCACGCTAGTCAGCGATTGATGTTCGATAGTTGTAGCAAGAAGCCATCCGTTATCCGCGAGTCACTCCTTTTCGACGTGTGTAAACATTCAGTCAGTCGGTAGGTTTGTCACTGCAGTCAGTTCAGTCTGGACACGGTGTCAAACATTGACGGATTCCTTTGCATTGGCACTCCCGCACTTTCACACAACTCATCTCACACAATGGAGCGTGGAATTGGGGGGCCCCTGAAAATAATAACTTCCCTTTTGAAGACCTGCCAATCTGCCTGTCTGGCTTCTTCTTGTGCTGCCAGGTGAAGGAACGGGTTGACAGCCAGACAGACGGGAGCTGCCCAGCATTGCCTTATTACCGTACATGGTACAGGTATTTAACAAGCGTCAGGGCGTTACGTGCTGTACCTGTGCGCTACTTTAGGCCACTGTGATGGTAAGTAAGGTACCGAGGTACCATGCCGGTAGCGTGATACCAAAGACGGCGGGCAGGTGCAGACACCCGAGGGCGGTGTGTGTCTTGGTTGGTGTGTTCACCTGTCTTGGGGTCGGTTCCAGGTCGTTTCCAGTGTGGTTGCGTGGCAGCAAGCGAAGAATGCCATTCGTCGTCATTTGTCGAGATAGCCACCCAGACGGTGTCGCGATAAAAGCCAGACACGTTGAGACGCCATAGTGCGGCCAGCCAGCAGCCCAGTGCTCGCCCACCATTTCGCGACGCAGCGATCGGCAGACCCTGGTCGTCTCTTTGCTCGAAGCGGCCTTTTGCTGGGCAGCTGCGAATGATGGAGTGACAAAGCGAATGGAAGTCGTGCTTGGGAGTGCCTGGGGTTACCCCCGACTCTGAGAGGTCAGGTCGGTCCCTCTGGGCTCTGGGCACTGCTCACTGTTCGGCGACGAGGTCGGCCATTCCTGGTTCGGCGGGTGCATGCTCAGCCCACGCAGTCATTGAGGTCTCGAGGTACCTAGCGGAAGTACCAGGGGCCTGCCAGCAACGGGCGAGAGGTACCCAGCACGGCCCAGCATGACCTCTGACGCTCGCAGCGGTTCCGTCCTCTTCCACCTCCTGCCTGCTTGTTCCATTTCATGCTTCCCACTGCTTCCAGGTTCTCAGGCTCCTTTTTCAGTACCCACCACCGCCCATCCACCCTGAATTTCACCCTATTCCACCACCTCTTTCTCTTCTCTCTTCTTTCTGTATAACTCGCCTTGTTCGCCGTCGTTCGTCGCGCCCCATTTGTCGTGCATCGCATTGTCTGTTTTAGCTCGCAACTCGCCTGGCAATCAATCGAAGCAATCAATCAATCAGTCACATAACCCGACGCACCTCATCCGACTTCGCAGTACCTTGCCGTCCGATCCACCGAATACGCCATTGATTGCGGCAGCCTTGCATCGACATCTGGCTCCATTCCCAACTTACACACATCAAAGCCTTTGGGATCCCCGACTGCGCCGTTCGAACATTGGTTCCTTCGTTCCGTCTGCTTCAAATCAAGTCAAGAAACACGAAAAGACTACACACAGCAAGACGAGAATCCTCTTTTGAAGCTCTCAAAAAGCAACATCAAAGAACAGAGCATCACGGCATTCAGTTGCATCACACGCTACACTACCATTCACGCTCCGCCGAGTCTCCAGTCAGTTTACACACTCACGGACTAGACCACTGGTCACTTGCTTGGCTCCCCCGGCCTCTTCTGTCATCGCCGACCCGCAACTTCCGTTATCGTCCGGTACCAAGTTGCTGCATCCCCCAAGACCCGGTGTCCACTTTCCGGTGTGAATCACATCTCGCGTGCCGAACCAGGGGGTTGGAAAGAGTCATCTCCACGGCCCACCTGTTCCTGAGGGACACTTATACACGACGATCGGTCAACCCTTTTTGAGATATCTCCGACATACATCTTCACCATAATCAACAACATCAAGCCATCGAGATACGCTACCAAACATCGCCGTCGTCGCCGTCGCCTTCAAGGCTCCCCCCTTGCCCTTCAGCCCGGCTCACCCGGTGTTTACATTGGTGATCACTTCAAGCGTCAACACCAACACCGACAACAACAACTCCCAGAACAGCTTCAACTAGCCGTCAACCCTCATATTCAGCTTTGATCTCGATTCGATGTTACTATAAAAACAACAACTTCTTTCCTCCTCCACCTACCACTTTACCGTTTTGACGGCCCCTCTCTCAAACCGACTACTCTACAGTCACATTTCCTTTGTTGATTCTTCACCTTTCCACCGCTTATGAGCCTCAGACCGTGAACGATTTCGTTTTTTCACAGTTTCAACCCCTGTACATTCTTCATATTCTTTCTTTTGGCGCATCTCTTTTCTCATACCTCTTCCGAGAACCTACTTGTCTCGACTACACCGGACTTGACGACATAGACCGGCTTGGACTGAAAAAGGAAATACACCAGCATTGTATCGACTATCTACGACAACAAAACCAACAAAACCTATACCCTAATCTTCCCCCAAAGGTCAACCCCCCAACATTCGCCATGGATTTCTGCCTTCGGAACAAGTTCCAATCTGGAGTTCTCCTCGCTGGCCGATACCAAACGATCTCCCCCCTCAACCATGGATCTTTTGGCATGGTCTTCATGGCCCGCGACCTCAAGACTGGTCAGAAGGTTGCCATCAAGTGCCTGACAAAGAAGGGAGCTGCAAGCGAAGCCGGCTTCGACTTTGCGGTTGACGAGAAGTCTGAGGAGCTGGTTCTTCACCGACGTCTTGGAGCCCACCCCAACATTGTCAACTTCATCGACACCTTCGAGACCGAGGCCCATACCTACATCGTCCTGGAGTACTGCGAGCGAGGCGATCTCTACGAAGCGATCCGTCTGGACCAGGGTCCTTTGGAAACCGAGCATGTGAGGCGATTCATGCTGGAGCTTGTCGACGCTGTTGCCCACATCCACGCCAAGGGCATCTACCACCGTGACATCAAGCCTGAGAACATCTTCCTCACCCAGACTGGCTCTGCCAAGTTGGGTGACTTCGGGCTTGCCACTACCGAGAAGTGGTCGTACGAGGCTGCGGTTGGAAGCGAGCGTTACATGTCCCCGGAGCAGTTCGACTCGGCCGGTGCCGGATACTCGCCGGCTGCGGCAGACATTTGGGCCATTGGCATTTGCTTGCTCAATGTCCTCTTTGCCCGCAACCCATTTACCACCCCGACCGAGGCCGACCCGCTTTTCTTGGATTTCTCCCGCGACAAGCAGTCTTTGTTCGACGTATTTCCGTCCATGTCCCAAGACACCTATGAAGTCATTGTTCAGTGTATGAACCTGGATCCTCGCAAGCGCTCTCTTGAGGGTGCTCGCGAGGCTCTCTACCGCGTCATCAGCTTCACCACCGACGACGAGATCCTCGACGACTTCTGCACCGCCGATGGCCCCGTGGTCGCCAGCTCCAACCGCGAGCCTCTTCGCACTCCGTCGATCCAGAGCCCCCAGATGGACACTGGCGCTTTCCCCTGGGCCAAGGCGCTCCATGCCAACCCCCAGAGGCAGCTCAGCGACATTCCCGACGACGAGAGCTACACCGAGGACCTCTTCTCCACCTCCACCGCCACCACTTCCGACTGGCTCTCCGCTAGCATCCAGACCCCACCTTCCGTTTCATCTGTTATGGACTCGCATCTCGCTGCCTCCATGCAGTCGCTTAACATGGGCTCGATCGCTCAACCTAGCAAGGATATGTTCGCCAAGATCCCCGTGAGGCCTTCGGTCGCCGCCGGCTCTCTCCCGATCAACATGGCCAAGCAGCCTAAGCAGTCAGCTTTGTCAATGGTTTTCGGTCGCAAGGATACTGTCTCTAAGAGCTGGAGTGATTTGTGGGACGAAGAGGAGGAGGAAGAGGAGGAGCACGCTAAGCAGCTGGCGCTCAAGGAGATGAACTCCAGAACCTATAGCCAGGAAAGCAAGCACGATGAAGAGAACACTCCTCGCGTCGGTCTGTCCCCGGCTACCAAGGCGGGCAGCCTTCACATGGAGCACGACATCCCGGCTATCGATATGCACCTTGGTTCCAACATCGACGACGACCTCGCTGCCGATGGTTTCTTCTTCCACGATGCTCCCGCCCGGAAGGAGGAGCCCACCCAGTTTCCCATGAGCCACTCCCCGCCCACTCGTAAGAGTGCCATGGATAAGTGGGCGGCTCTGGGTGAACGTCGCAGGGCAACAGGAACCACACCTCCTAGAGGCTCCGAGTCTGTTCCGAGATCGCAGCGCCAAATCCCTCACAGCTTTGGCGCCGCCTCTCACGATTTCCACAACACAAACCACAACTCTTATACTGTTCACTCGAACAATCACTCATCTCATCATTATGCTGCCAACATCGGAAAGAAGTCTACCCCGGTGAAGCAGTGCCCTTGGAGCAAGGGACGCGATCGGGGAATTGACTGGCGCAAGGAGAAGCGTCATCCTTTCGATGTCGAGTGGGTTGGTGGCTGGACGGGAACTCCTCTCGTGCCAGTTCATCACTTGTAGTTGGGCTATCACCTTCGCTGTGGTCCTTCACTGATTCACACTGTTTTTGGGTAAAGGGACTTTTGCTGATCCTGGTCGGAGTTTTTCGGGCATTTTGGTTGTTTTTGGCTTTTCAGGGGTTTTGTTGCTTGGGGTCAACGGGCGGGTCTGTCATCTATATTTTCAAGGGATTTACAATACTGCATAGCATGGTTTAAACAAACAAACAAAGGGCGAAGCGGCGCGGCATTCAGATACAGAAACTGGACATTCGAATTGGATTGGGTTTTCTCTTCTCTACTTTTTTTATTTCATTCATAGGATCGAGACGTTATGGACGTGAGCCCGAAGGATCAGCATTTTCCTCTTTTCCGGTTTACAAGACCAAACAAGAACGGTTATATGGGATTGGTGGATGGGCGGAATGGTGACTTGGGTTTCAACTCGCTTTCTGTGTATTAGATATTCTCCGAACATCTCACGTGAAGACCTTCAAAGGTCACAAGAATACCAGAAGTTACCCACTCGAACACATATATCTTTATCTCATGCCTCGTATGAACCCGATGAACTGAATAAGGAGGATGGAGTCAACTAACATCTAATTCTCAGCTCTAACTTACGTACGTTGCTGGCACAAATGAATCCAGCTAGGTACGTCATCGACAGAATTGCGCCACGACCCATATAAAGACAACGCCATGTCCACTCAACGACGTCAAGACTATACGAGCGGCTAAACACAAACCACTTACAATCCCTCTAACGGCGAACGGCGAGCGGCGAACGGCCAGTCGGTCGGCCGGCTACTCCGACGGAACACGGGTCATGTGTACTATGTGTCTGTGTCACGATGCCTAACAAAAGACAAAGACGACTAAACAAACAAAACACGCATATACACAAGGTTATGTATGCCATCCCTATTCTGTGTCTCCGCGTCTCTCTCTAATCTCCTACGTACTTACGCTCACCCGGAGAAGCCGAGAGTCGAAGATTGTTACATATGTAAAATAGATAGAATCGGAATAAGGTTCGATACCTAGTACCGCGTCACACAATGAGAAACAAACGCCCGCCGGATTCCTTCCGCGGAAAAATTTTATGAAATGTCGATTAAGATTGAGCCGAGTGTGTGTCCCTCGATGGTCGGTCGTGGGCTATGACCTGCGGCATGTATAAGTGTTAGGTTTGTGGGTAGGTTTGTAGGTAGGTTTGTATGTATCTAGGTTTGTACACTGAATGCGCTTGAGGAAGATATTTGAAAAGGGGAATGGGGCAGATGGTAGCGAGCGAAATTCACATCCTTCTTTCGTTATACTCGGCCACGTATATGTATCTGGAGATGAGTAGGACAAGGATAGTCAGATCAAAGAGGTTCTACGGTCTCGTTACCTATCCATATATATGTCTCTCCCTCTTACTTATTGAATTATAATTCACTTGCCCGATCATTCGTAAGTTACTCATTCCCGACATGACCAGTACGCGTTCCGATTAATTAGTTGCCGTTCTTTACATACAAGGGAGGGAGTGAAGTAAGTGGTTTAATATATAGAGGTATGTAGGATGATGCCATCGCATGATATAGTACCTTGTTAACGCAATCAAGGTAAAGTATTGAACCCCAGATTGATATATCATCTCTATCAACTTAATTCGAACCTAACGACCTTCTGTACAGACAGGCAGACAGACAGACAGATACACGACTACACCGAGGAGGCATTCAATTTTGTCGAATTATATTTACGAAGTATGGTCCATCGCATGATACATGCCAGCACCTACTGTACCGTCCCAGGTCCTCGGACTTCCATCTGGTCTCTGTCTGGTATTTCATCCCATTTGGTTTTTATATTTGTCTGTCATCTCGCATATAAGAACCGCTATCCACTTCGTCCCAGCACGAACCAGGGTTCTCTCATATTGACTTTTCATCGGATGTCTCAGTACACTCATTTTACCATCCCTTTACCCACTGTGCTGTTGAGATAAACACGATTTAGAACAGGACTGTGTGTACATCATTGTCATTGCCATTATCGTTCGTAGCAGTCGGTAAGTACCCCTTGATTCTCTTCACCGAGAAGTTGAGAATGTGTCGACGCCCGCGAGAAGACAAAATGTGATCAGTACGTAGTAAAAGGCCACGGTACGGTATGGTATATGTATTTACGTAAATCGTAACTATTGCAGCCCCGCGCTCGCAGGTATCATATCTCGGCTGGCTCCTTTCACTCAGTTTGTATGTAGGTACGTTTTCCCTTCATCATCAACACACTGTTCATAAAGTCGTGTCGTGGACATATTCGTTTTTGTCATATCCTCATCCATCCATCCATCCATCCATCCATCCATCCATCCTGAAGCCCACCCGGACCCAGATCTCCTAACATCAGGCTATGTTCGGTATTCCGGAAGTGCCAGTAGGAGAAGCGCGGGCTTGGTGGTTAGCACACCGTACCATTCTCAACAACCATCAAAAACCGCGCTTCCCCTACTGTACTGCACTACTGGAATACCGAACACAGCCAGCCTTACCTGCCTAACTCTTTACAACATTCCACGTCCTCGCCGTGCTCATCGTCCTCTTCCTCATCTCCGCCATGATCTTCTGCTCCATCTTATCGATGCCCTTCTCGATATCCTTGTCTTCCTGCGCGTACGCGGCCTCGCGCTTCTTGTCCCACAGGAACCAGGTTACGACGATGATCAAAGTGATTGGGATCGTGATGGCAAAGTAGACCCATATCGAGGGGGAGACTGTTCTTGTTACTGCTGCACTGTCTCCACCGGAAGAAGCCGCGGCTGAGTCGTCGCCGGCGGGGCTGAAATCGGAATCTTGGTCTTGGAAGTTGAAGAAGGTCATGGAGAAGACGGAGGCTAGCAAGGTTGCGGGAAGGAAGATGGCGCCCAAGAGCGAAATGGACTTCATGGAGGTCGCGTCCCGTTTGGCGGCGTGGGCGAGCTTGCGCTGGTCGACGGCCATTTGCAGACCCAGTTTAGATTCTTTTTGGGCGATGATATTGTATAGTGCCGCGCGCTGGATCGACAGGCGCTCGAGCGTGATGTGCGCGTAGTTCTCGATGCCTTTTAACTTGGCATTGAAAAAATCGAGGCGAGAGGCGAAGCTGTTGTGAAGCTTTTCGGCATCCTTGCCGTAGATCTCGCGGCGCTCTTTAGCGAGTGACCAGAACTGTTCGAGGGTGATGCCGAAGGAGCGCACGATTTCCTGGTACGCCTGCGGCCGCTTCCACAGAACTTGGGAATGGCACTCCACTAAGTCGCGGTTGATCTGGTCGAGGTCGACCATGGTCTCTTTAATGTAATTGCTCTCTTCCTCCAGAATTTCTTGTCGCATGCTGACGGCGTGCTCGAGCCGGCGCAGCCACTCGCGTGCTTCGCGCTGCTTCATGTCCGTCTTGATGGAGATGTCGTGAGACAGAACGATCATGGGGAGCAAAAAGGGGTGCATGGCTTGCGAGGCGCACGCTAAGAGAGTCTTGATGGAAACACTGATGTCGGAGGAGGGCGTGCCTTTGACAAAACCCGAGGTGATGCCGGTGTTGAATGAGTGCGAGAGCATTAGCTCCCAGCCGCGGGTTTTGCCCTTTTTGCGGACATCGGATTTGCGGAAGATAATTTCTAAAGAAATATTGGTCAGAAGAGGTATGGTGTGGAGTGGGAGGGAAGGTAAGTTGACATACGCAAGTGAGGATCATCTTCATCATAATCCAGAGCTGCCCAGAAAAAGGGGCCAACGACACTGGTTCCTTCTATAGCACGATAGGGTAACCGCATGATCTCGACCATGCTTGAGTAGTCCTCGGGTTTGAGGGAAATGTGAAGAGGTGCAAAGGTTTCATCTTCATTCGCATCCTTTTGTACTCTGCAAAATGGGTTAGCCCAGTTCCTCGTCGAGTCTGAATCCCTGCTTTGACCATAGTGCTCACATCAGACGAACTCCGTTCAATAGTTGTACTCCTTCCTTGAGCTTCTTGGGAGCAAAGACACCCTAGAAAGCGGTACTGTCAGCTCATGGCCATCAAACCCGTTCAGGATCCGGGTTGTCACTTACCCGCCGGTGTAGAAAGTTGTGGAATTCGACTCGTCGCTCATCAGGTCCGAATCGGTGTTCATCGATGGTGTTCAGACTTTCATCCTATTCAGACCGGCGATATTAGATCTTAGCTTCACGCTGGCCACCGCTCGAACTTTGTCCCTCAGTCTCACAATGTATAAATCCGTAAGCATCTTTGCTTCCAAGGAGAGGTGTTGCCGACTGCAAACCATCCTAGGCACCCACTCAACTTTCCCACTTCAAGAGCCTCCGCAAACCTTCCCCCTCTTTTCAGCCCGCGAATTCAATATTGATCACTGTAACAACCCCCCATCTGACACAAACATTCACTCTCTCGCCTTCCCTCCCACCACGTATGTTGCACGAAACCGTTGCCTCGTCCCTTCTCCCCATATCCTGCTTTCCCCAAACCTTCACCACCACGCTCCCATCCATGTGACATATTTGGGGCTTTACGTACCGAGTAATTAAGTATCTCAATCCAGGAAGTGGTCTCCTCCACGAATTTGCACTGTTCAAGATGCGTCCGAAACAAGTACTCATCCATGGCTGGTTGCTGGTCCCAATCCTTTTCCCGCCTCCCCTTGGTTTGGTAGTTGACACTGATTGGTATTATTGATATCCTTTTCTCTTGTGTTTAGATGTCGTCGGCAGTGTCATGAAAGAGCAAGGAGATCCAACTGGAGGATGTCAAAAGGGATTTGCCGATGGCCGAGGGTTAATGAGAAAATCCGTCAACCCTTGGGGCAGATTCGGTGATGAGAGCCGCTACGTGAGCTGAATGGGTACGGTAGCCGGGATAAGGCTGGCGTGTGTGAATGAGGTTGATTTAATTTGGGTGAAATTGAGAATGTGTCTCTGTTCCGTCTTTGTGTGTGTTTTTTCTTGAGTCGTGCCGTGCTGGTATCATATAGTCTTTTGTCTCAGTTTTCAGGTCGTTCAATGTGGTCCAGTGTCATACAACCCCTAAACTCATAGGCCCTTTCTTCGTGAGCTTCGTGGTAGTCGTGACGAATGGTGATATTCGATGTAGATCCCGTCTGTAACCTTCGGAATGTATAAATTCTCGTGAGTCGATTTCGTGAACTTCGTAGGCAAGAAAGCTTGGGCGGGATGTGTTTCCAAGCTAAGCCGAAGTTTTCCAAGGGGTGGGTATCAGGGCTGTCCGGGGGAGGAACGCCAAAAGAGAAGAAGAAAACCTTGGAGTGAGAAGAAAAGAGTTGAAGAAAGTAACAAATCTAAGCGAGAAAAAAAAAAGAGGTAGCCAAAAAAAACAAAGGTTGCTGCTCGGGTGAAGAACCCACACGGTCATACACACCTTGCGCTGACCCCCCAGCCTGTCGAGCCTGTCCAATCCTTCGACAGCTAGCAAACGTTCGAAGCTTTTCTTTCCTTTCCCGCTCCTTTCGCTACCGACAGAAGGAATACCGACCCCCAAATTTTGATGGACAGGTACGGCAGTATGTCCGCCGGGTTACTGTGCTACAGCAGCACGTAAGCAGAAGCCGTTGCGGTGTAGCATCCTATACTAGACAGTGGTTATGTGTAGTATGTAGCGCCCCATCCCTGGAAAGAACTCTCTCCCCATCGTGCAAAGATATCGAGAAACCGGGGGGCGTCGACGCCGGGCGGGGCTGGGCTGGCCCATCCAGTCAGTCGATAGAAACCACTCGCTCGCCGGCTTTAACTAATTCCCTGCTGGGAATGTACCTGGATGTGATAGTGTGATAGATGAATGGCCCGCGGCCCGCTCTCTGTCAGCATTCGTTAGATTCTGTGTCCTCCGTTTCCTCCATCTTCGTCCATTCACTGGCTTTCTCCTGGTGGCTGGGAAAGTGGGAAAGCACTCTGCGTCGGCTATCGAACGGTATGCTGTAGGTACTGGACGCTAGAGGTACACACTGAGAAGGTTACGGTAAAGCCTCCCCCGGCCTCACGATGCGCCAGCCAATCCACGGTTGAGGTTCTGCGAGCGGCGGGATGGAGGCCCCAGGAAAAAACGGGGGAGAACCCCCCTGTCCTGTCGGCGGACATGCATTCAAGCTTTCCTCAAGTGGAGCACCACGTCTTGTTTTGTCTTGTCTTGCGAAGTTGTGTCTCTTTCTTTTGCGGCGGTTGTTGAGCCGAGTTTGTGGGATGATCTTCGTACAAATCGACTGGAATGCGGAGGGTTGAGGGGTATACTGTATATACAGTATCGTCAATGCGAAATCGGGATTCGGAAAGGCTGGCAAGACGGTAGGGTTAAACGTGTAGAAGAGCATGTGTGTGCTTGACTGACACCATTAACCCTTGCATATCCGAATCCCAATTTCGTGGGACAATACGGGTGCACGGTAACCGTCATACCGCCTTAACTTTCAATGATCGGAATCCGAGAGCAAAAGTGTAGTTTCAACACGTTGGGACTGAACAATTCCTTGAAACCTATAGCTATCCTCAGGTCTTTGGCGGTTTGACCATACGATGTCATCCCTTTTAACTCTACTATAACGCCTGTAAACTCCATATGTTACCTAGCTGCTTTACACGACACCCATTCATATTCCTTGGACCCAGGAAACCAAAACACGATGTATACACGTTCTATCCAGCCTGTCCCAAACCGCAGCACATGCCGATCAATACTGCCACAGCGCCTTGTGGTAGATAACCCTAGACCCCAGCATCTTATACTCATAGTTTGTGATCCATGAATCGTTGGTCGACAGCTTCGCAAAGACGCTAGCTCCCTTCCACACAACGACCTGCTCGTCCATCTCCCTCGCGCTCCTGCTCACCAGGATACGCTCCGACAAGTCCGGCCGGCGCGCCTTGAGTTTCTCCTCAAGGTATGGCGCAAAGTGCGGTGTCTTGGCACCACCGCCAATAACCATGATGCTTCCCATCAGTTCTCTGACCTTCTTCTCATCGCCCTTAGCGGCGTTCTGAATGCTCGTCATGATGGCGATGTCAAGAGGCATTACTGGCAGCACGGCGTCACGCTCTGCGGCCATCGACTTGGGCGTGCGCTGGACGGCCTCGGCTGGCATGCCAACAGGAACGGCTAGCGTGTTGGCAGCGCCAGTACCGTTGGGAGCCGCAGATGCCCCATTCGTGGGCACTGGGGTAGTGCCATTCCGTCCACTGGGAGCGGGACTACCGCCGCCTGCTCCGAAGACGAACGGCGGTGGAACGGGGGTGCTGGCGCCCTCGCCAGGGGCGGGTGATGGGGCCTTTGATGTGCCGGGCGTGCCAGCCGCGGTGTCGGTGCGTGCCAAGAAATTGAATGGTAGAGGTTTCTCCTTGCCGGGCGTAGCAAGATCACTCAACGCTCCCGCAAGGGTGTGTGCGTTAAGGGATGGGGCGATGTGGGACAGGACGGCGAACTGCGCTGCCGATGTAGGGTCATCAGGGATTTCCACATCGTAGGCGTTGTAGGACCTTTCGATGAGCTTCCTCCTACCTCTAAGCTTGGTGCTATTGTCAAAAATAGAAGGGTCATAGAAGCCCATAGGGGCCAGAATAACCTCATCGTAGAATTTGAACTGGTATTTGCGAGTGGGCTGGTTAGGAGCGCGCACGTGGAAATCGGAGTTCTGAACAGATATGTTGGCCTGGGATAGCGTGCAGTACTTGATCTTTAGCTCCTCGGCCAACAAGAAATCGTATCTTCGTCGTAGATTGATTTCCTGGTATGGGAAGTTGTCGTAAAGCATCATCTTGATGAAAGTTTCGGTAACGTCGTAGCCGCCGTATTTAAGGTTGATGCGGGAGTCCTCGATGCAGAGTCCATCCTCAACACAGGTAATGGAGGTCTTTTGTGCGCCGACGTCTACAACACAGGCCTGTGTGTAGCCGGCACCAAACGAAGCCGCCATACTCTCTTGTATGAACGAGATCTTGCTGAACTCGAACCACTCCACGCAGAGGTGCAGTATTTGCTCCACATACTTCTTGTCGTAGAGATCTGGGATGACGAAGACGCAGCTATACTGTTTCCATTCGGTACTTCGCTTCAGACCCAGATCATATCGCAAAGCACGGTCAAGTAAGGTCTCGATGTCGTTGAATAGGTGGGCTTTTGTGGGATAGTCATCCTCGTTCATCCAGCCATGTTGTATCGGCCACCATAGCTTGAATTTGGGGTTGGAGTCGTCGGCAATGCGTTGCGCCTGTTGTCCAATGAACACAGACGTGTTCGAATCCGGGTCTTCCAGAGCGTTGACATCAGTCCAGTCGACTTGAAGGGGATCGTTGTGGGTGGAGATGACCTCGGCCTCTGTTCGGCGGTTGAAATTGAGAACCAGATCTTTCGAGTTGGGGAGAACTTTGCGCCTGTTTGCGCGCATGTCGGCCTTGAGATCATTGGACATCTTTTGGTACTTCTTGGACCAGTCTTCGCCGTATTGCTGCTCGGTTGTTCTAGCCTCGAACTGCCTCCTCGGTAGCGCTTCGTACATTTCCGACTCTGTCTGTGGGTACTTTGTCGCGAGAACCATGGGGATGGTTTTTGGAAGCGCGTCGCTCGCAAAGCCAATTCGGAGGTTTTGACTTCCCGGGTGGATGACGATGACCTTGGACGGCTCGGCATATGCTGCGGATGTCGGTCCATCATCGCCCTGGAGCTCGTCGAGAGGCAGAGGTACTTCGCCATTGGTGTAGTTGAGGGCGCGATCGCGGTCTTTGGCGCTTTGTACAAGCCGGTCTCTATTGAGTTCGCTTTGGAGTCTGAGGGAAAGGATCTGGTCATCCCGCTTCATATAATCACTGCGAACGCATTGTCAGCATGCCGGGCTGGATGGTTGGCGAGAAATGAGACATTGTGGTGTGGTTCGCACGTGTAATAGTTCTTCTGGTTGATGGGGACGACGTCGGGCCAACTTGTCTGCTTCATGCCATTGTCGGTACGCTCCAACCCTAAGCGTAACTATTAGTGGCTGACCACAAGTGGCTTGACGGAGGGAGAAGAGCACCTACCCTCCCTGAGAAGGACGCGTTCGCTGACTTTCCCGACCATCTTGAAAGTATGAATGCCTCCCTGGATATATGCCAATCGAGTGGTCTGAGAAGCGCGGTAAACCTATTATTCGAGGGGTAACGCGCTTTGTTGCCCTGCTAACGGGGTGGCGGTCACAGTGGAGCGGGACCCGGATGTTTTCCGCAAAGTGCGCGCCAACTGGAGATTGGTGATATTTTGTGACGACGCTGTCGATGTAGCGATTCTGTGTTTTGGTGTTGAAGCAAGGTGAGGGTGCGGTGCGGTCGGCCGGTCGGGAATGCTGATGGTGGACGTGGGCCTCGTCTGTGTTCTCTTGGGTGGCCTTGATTCGGCCGGTTCAGTCCGATAATTTTGGGCAAGATTGAGTCTGGTGGCGGGTGCACTGCACGATAGACAAACGTTTGGATACCATCCACAACCTAACGTTACTCGTCCTGCGAGGCTGGACAGGCATGCACTCCCCAGAATAGGTACCCCGTTGTACCTGGTCCGTCGTGGAGTTTTCTATCGCGCTAAAGCCGTCCAGGTTTAGCTTCTTTGAAGGGCTGAGCAGGGGTCTTCCAATGGAGCCATTCGTGCCATTCCCGGGCTGCGACAGCGGAGGTTCACCTTTTTGCGACTGCATTCACACTTCGGTTCAATTTGGATTCACTTCCCTTCGCTCCATTCGCTCACACAATCTGCTAACATCTCCGCACGTAGATCACGGCAAGTGTCAATTTCAGAACTCAACCGAGGCTGACCACCACATGGTGATTCGTCCAACAACCAATGCATCAAAGGCCGCATAGAGACTGATTCTGAATCATGCTGCTTGGAGCATAGGATCTCGAACGAACAAAGAAGAGCAAGCAAACACTGCAGTTGTTGTTGACCGTTCAATATCGGAACCTGGAATGGAAGCCCAGGGGCAGCTACACCCTTGCCGTGCATTCAGTTGCCAGGCCGTCCAACCACTTCGCGGCCGGCAACCCGTCCTGCCACCTGACAATGACGTCGTTCCTGATCGGCGTTGCTCAGCTTCAACGACCGTTCGCGAATTGCGAGGCAGTCGCGACTCATCCATCCCCTTGCAAGTGATCAATGACCAGTCAGCAGGCAGGAACGACACGATATTAATAAAAGAGCTGAGGCAACTGCATCTTCGAACGACCACGTTACACATCAAGTTCGGCCTTTACTCATTTTGTTGATCATACAGGACAGATCAATAACTCATTCAACCACTTGCTTCGTTATACTTTGCCCGATCCAGTGACCCAGCACTTCTCGTTTTAGTTTCATCGCTCTGTTGACCACACCTCCAGTTCAATCATCGCCATATATCACGTCACTTACAAACATGCCTCCCATAAACCTTTACACCCACAGCCCCATCAACGCAGCGAAAGCGTCTGATGCGCAGGACCCCAAGACCGCAACCCCCGAAGGTCAGAGTCAGTCAGGAATAGTCCCCAATGCCAACCCCGATCCTCACCCAACCGGGACCGTCACGCCCAACCAGGCTACACCCACCTATCTCACATCCGACCGGATCCCTCCGCCTCCCCAGCCCGGAGCGGTCCCAACTCTGCCCGTCCAAACCGGCACGGCAACCACCACGCAGGGGCAAGACGTCAAGTACCCTCATCTCCCACCGCAGCCATCATCTCAGTATTACCCAGGGAGTCCGGCAGCACCAGCACCGAGTGGCCCAATAACCAGTACACCGCACCAAATGTCCATTCCCCCGCCCACTGCTTCCTACGACTACTCCCAACGCGGAACTTCTACCACCACCGTCCCACCACCCCCCACGAGAACCCTACCTACCTATCTGCCTGGTGCCTCCCCAGCTGAGCTTGGACTCGGACCCCAACATGGATCTGGATCCGGAGGAGGGGGAGGAGACCTCTCCCACCCTCCTGGGTACCAACAAGACTCCATGGCGTCAGATATGAACCAATCCCAGCGCGCGGCGCACGAGTTCGCTGCTTCTCATGGGGGTCATGGTCACGGGCACGGTGGTGGTTACAGTGGTAGTGGTAGTGATGACGAAGGGGTTTGGAACTCGGCGAAGAAATGGATTCAGGATGCGGGGGCAAAGGTGGCGGAGGCGGAGAGTGAGGTGTGGAAGAAGATCAATGGTCAGAAGTAGAAGGTCGGACTTACGACGGAGCACCCCGCGAGGATTCCTGCCATTGCGGCCCTCAGTGACTGACTTGGTGGGAAGGAAAGGAAGTGTGTGGCGTTGGAAGTGTTCTGATTGGTGCGGTATGCCCGCGACTTCGGCCAGTCTATGTTGTACGTTGTCTCGTAACATGCCCGTGGTGATATATTCTATCCTTGAATCGGCGGGAAGTGGGAAAATAGCTTCAATATCCCAATCCAACTTCTGCTCTCTTCCATATCACATGATTGTTTCTGAATGTGACAAGGGATAATGGCCAAGAGGAATATTCATTTGCATGTGCCATTACATTTGGCCGCTCGACAAGACATTTGGAAGCCACGGCGTTATTCGTTCAATTCGTGTTTTAAGTGTCGTCAACGAGGTTGATTTGACAATAACCTAATCCGAAACATGCCCTACATGCAACGAACGACACCCGAAGACCTTTCTTTACTTATATCAGAAAATGGTTTTCTTTTCTTACCTTGGCTGATTGGTTCGATGACAAAACATTCCAAAAACAGCGATCAGAAAAAAAAGAAAAAAAAAAAAAAGTGGACCTTGGGGGTCTTACAGCTGGATTGAATGAGGGGCGTGTTGGAGAGAAAGAAGGAGGAGCGAAAGATGGGAGAGAAAAGGAGGACGGAGTGACTGCGTACTGTGACTGGTACACCATCCAACCAGCTTGCCACGGAAGTCATGACGCGGAAAGCGCTACATATACCGTAGGTAGACGCTAGGTTGTGCGCTACGTATGCTATGGCCTCGGAGAGGGCACAGGTCCAGTTGAAGAGTTGGAATGGAGGGCAATCAGGAAGTCGTGACTCAGATCGTTGTCGTACCTTCCCTGGATTGGCGGTCGGAGGGTTTGCAAGGAGGAGCGATGGAGAGCACTGCAATGGGAAATAAGGGAAGGATAAAGTATGACAAACAAACATCCCTTCAATTGGCTAAGAAATACTGACATAATTGAACTACGGCGGGCAAGTGTACATCTACACTAGTGGTAGTTGTAGGTCCAGACTGTCGCGAAGTTTGTGTCTACCTAGCGACCTGGAACATCACTTTGAAGTTTGTCAACTACCTAACCACAGGAATCACAAATGGAGTATATTGGGTAGGTGAAGCGGGTAAGCAAAGGATCCAGCTTGCCTTGTCTAAAATAGACTAGGTCGTGTGTTTTGGTTCTTGAAAGCTTGAAAGATATCTTGCCTCTTACTTTTTCCGTGAGCCAACCTTTCACCGGAAAAAAACAACAAAAAGACAAGAAATATCACAGAGAGGTAGACGAGCTTTGACTTATGTAGATGATGGTAAACCACCCGAAGTACGTGCCAGCACTAGCGGGGGTCAGAGATAGCAACGTATAAGATGTGAGACAGCCCAGCTTACTGCACATTTGCATCTCCTGCTCTGTACCTGCCTATCCGACTGAATAAATCAGCTCGTCTTTCTTTCAAGATAGTCAGTCACACTTGTTTTCAGTTTACGCAATTCCAACCGAGAAGAGGAAGTTGGGAATATGTGAGACTTCGAAGAGTGTCTTCTTCTTGAGAGAAGGTATAGGTTGGGTTGTTTATCTCATTCAGCGTCTTGTTCGGCTTATCAAGACACTACCAAACAATATTTATTTTTCTGGTCACACTTCTGTGTACAATGTTGTTTTTGACTCTGTACTCTATTATTCTTTTCATTTTTAGTGACAGTTGTCTATCGTACCTACAGACCCTCCATCATAGTGTCATGATTGTGGAGAGTGATATCGTCGTTGAGGGCCCTTCTCTTCGGGTGCGGTCGTTTCCATTCGGCAATCCTCAATGAGTGTTTTCACTCGGCCTTGTAAACGGGTCAGTCTATTATTGTTCGTTGATTGATCAGTTTTGCTACGTTATACCTCGAACATACCTCTAGGTACCAAGCCCACTGTTTTTGCTGTTCCCTAATATGATCAAAGAAAAATTATTGATCAATATGGTAGTAGTATGATAAGGTATCGTGGGCAAGTCACGATTCGCATTGCCTCTCTCCGTAAATCTAAGAAGAACGGATAGTTTCCGTACTAGTATCAATGTTTGACATTTGCAGTTACGATATCCACTTGTTGTTTTTGGTTTCATTAGACTAGAGTTACTGATAACCGTAAGTGTAACGGATGTAATCATTGTTCAGACCCTTTTCTGTTCCTAAGAGTTCCTACATTACCTAACGTCCAAAACACAGCAGTACCCTAGCGTCACATGAACTTGGTAGAGGCATGGACATCCAAGGTGGTATCGACCGGCGGCCTCCCGGAGATCTCAACGACATCCAATATTGAAGTCTCTTTCTGGGCGATCCTAGCTTGGTCGTGTGCGTCCATGTTCTCTGCGCTCGAGCATCAGCCCGGGTCTAAAACAGATCTCATAAGATGAAGTATCACTGTTCTCAATAAAGCAGTGGTTGAAGCCAGGGGCATGGGATATGCTCGCCAAATTTTGGTTCGAGAGTCGATGGCGACGACTCGTCTGGGTTACGCCCACCCGTGGCAACCCCAGGCAAAGCCTGGAGTCGAACACATATGCCTGGCTGCATCGGGCTGCCGGTTCAACCGATTTCATCGATTGCCCATGGATCAATTTTTCTTTCGGGATACCTTTTACATGGTTGTCATAATGTTTGAACCGGGAAACACTGAGTATCGGGTTATCATTTAACCTTGGATTTATGCTTGCCTCGGCGTGGCCAATTTAACAAAGGTGGTCACTGTGAGGGAGAGCCAAAGAAGACTCGAGAATGAGTCATCCGAAAAGCGTGTTCCTCACTTTTCGAGGCGATCTTTGTGCGTACTGTTGAGTATTAAGTAAGCGGAGTATACGTCTGTTTGCGTTCATGGTCCGTGACTCTGGCTTGAAGAATCTTGCTCCCGTACGCCTCGACCACGGACATTCGTTTTCACACTATTGACTATGGAGGCCCGTATATCATAGCTGTTGTTATGACGCGAGCGACGAAAACACATGGAAGTCTTGCCGAAGTGGTTCTCGTCTTGGTTGTCACGGTAAACCCGTGAGATGCGTGCCATGATCCCTGGCGGTGAGCACTTGCCCTACGAGAACACTCGTCAGTATCTGGGTCTTGGATGGGAAGAGAGACAGAAGGATGCCGTCATGCGTGAAATATTGTCCGCCATGATTTACATAAAACCCGAACTATAGGCGGCGAGTTCCCTACGGTTAAACAGCGAACAATTTCCCAAAAGGGCACTCGTTGTTATGCGTCGTGCGCCCAAGCGGAAGAACAACTGCACTTGTGTTGGAGCGGATTTTCCGGGAAGCTCCACTGAACAAGGTCGTGGAATGTCTCTAGAAGAAACACTAGCGTCCGAGCGGCAGAAAGGGTGGGAAGCAATTGGTGGCCAAGGGAGTGATGAAGTCGTAGCCTTGAGGTGTTCATCCTCAAACTCTTGAGGATTGGGAAACTCGATGCTATTCTTGGAGATTGCTTGTGATGCGTAGGAAACGCACAGACGGACTGCTTTGAGATAGTTGGATGAGGTTAGTTAGTTTCTTCACCCCGAAAACATAAGTGTAGATCTAAGCCGTGGGCGGGGAATCAAGCCGAAACAGATTGGGGTGGTATTCCTACTGCAGTGAGGAAATTGTGAACCAATTGACGATCCTGTGTGATTATTCACCTCTGACATGATTCCCAAACAGTTTCTCTGTTTTGTTTTTGGCGGGAGTGGTCATTCGGACCGCCAATTCTTGACGAGACCTTCCACTTCTCTGGAGCCAGAATCGGCCCATTGTGGACCATTCGTAAGGTGAGACGTGAGAATGCGAACTCGAGAGAGATGGATGGATAGCACAGTATCACTAACTGTAGCGCACGTATGTTGGAGCGCACAGAAGAGGGAAATCCGGAATGTGGATGGACGATCACAAAAGAGCGACTTCTTCACCTGCTTAGTACTGTACACAATGAAGGTGTGCTTAGTGTAGGAAACTTGGAAGACAAGAGGTCTGGAGATGGTTGAGGTGAACTCTGTCTCCTCTGGTGCGCGCCAAGAAAGGTACCAATGGTAGGTGACATCGGGGCATGCGGGGCTAGAGTGCTGCAGGTAGGGTGGTGTGCGACTGCCTCCTGCGACAGATCTGAGACGTTCCTGCCCCGCGAGCCCCCGGTTCCCTCCCCCCGCCCACTCCTTCCTTACTGTACATGCCCATGGTGCCAATAGCATGAGCCGCCCTTGTGGCTGCCTGTTCGCTCTGTCCCTCCATCCGCTCGTCCAATTCCGGGCAATCGATGGGTCAATTTCCAACTCGGCACACAACAATCTCTTCGTTACCTTTCTCTCAATTGTCTCTCTCTTCCAACAACGTCGGCTTGTGGCTCAACACCCCCAGCCCTGTCGACGAATCGCAGTTGTCTCCGAATCCCCGCATCCGCAATCTGCAGTCGGCAAGACGGGGTTTCCCCTGCCGGTGCTTAGAGTCCTCCAAGTTCGTCAATTGAACTTTGCAAGAGCAAAACCCACCAAACCCCCTGAGAGATCGGAATCGAAACCGTACTCCCTGCCTGCCTCGAGCCCCGGACTGCCGACGAATCAGGAAACCCAAGGAGGATCAAGACACGGGTGACGCGAATCATCCTCCCCTTGATCTGGGAACTTGCTATTTTTGCCATCCTGCCCGGCTTCCCCCTCACCCGTCCCTACACTAGACACTTGCTGCCCGCTCTCCAGTTGACGACATGGGATGGACCAGCATCAAGCCGTTGAACCAAAAAAGGCTTACGCTACCTCATCGCTCCGACCGCAATGGGACTGCTAACCTGCTGTCGACACTAATGTAATCCTCACTCCACCTCGGGTCTTCTTCAATCTCGGCCCTCAGGCTTCAGCCAGTCCCGAGCTGACTCGCCTCGAGCAACCTCAGCCTCTAGCGCCGACCTGACGAATCTGTTATGGCTTGTATCAAGTTTCTGAGTAGCGAAACCTTAGGTCCACGAATTTGGAAAGAGTTTCCGATCACGAAACCTCAACACGCGTCACCATGCCCGTCTTGGTTTTGCACTTCCGATGTTGAGAAACCGGGGCTTGCTTTGCTGGGTTAGGTCTTGACCTACAAATTCGATACAGTTGTCTCGCACAACGACACTCGAATGAAGCTTGGTTGGGCAGTTGAGTTGACTGTTGAACTCGGCTTTCGAAGCAAAGAGAAGGCTTGCGAACCGTCACTACCAGCTTCTTTCGAGCAGCTCTCCCGCATGTGAAGAGTTTATTCCCTTCTTACATGGCCGGTCTGGGCTTGATGCCCCACGGTAGCCGTCTAAATCGCTTTTAGGACGGTTGATAACGGCAGTCAACTTGCTTACGTTCAGTCTGACGGGCGCGGGACGGAAGCGACAGAATAGTTTGGTCCTCTATCGCACCGCTCTTACACCATCGCTTTGCCGCGAGGCGTCCTTTTCGTCATCCAATTCATAAGCTTAGACCACCATCGGCCTGGAATCCGGATCATCCAAGACACGGAAAACTAGGACTGGTTGCCACCTATTACCGACAAGAAGGCATGGATCTGAAACAAGCCACCCACCATCGGTATCTTTTCGTGCCTTACACAGACAGTTCTGGGTACATGGATGATGACCCCATCTCATCTTTACTTTGCTAAACATACACTCTTCTGGCCGAAATGGGCTTAGAGGCCTTCTCAGACAACCCCTTGCCCTGTGTTGCCCAGAATGGGTGGCTTTTCCTGGTAGGGGAGAGTCCCGGTCAAGCCCCTGGCTAGTATTTGGGCTAGTAGCCACTCGGGCACGGTCAACCGAAGCACGATGCTTCCTCACCACTTTCTAACCAAATTGCTTTTCGGGCCACCAAGACCTTCACTTTGGGATTCTGACTTGCCAACATTTTAGCCTCATCATCTATGGCCAAAATGATCATTTGATCCGCAGGCTAGGCACCTGGTCCCTGCTTGGGACGACATCATCTCACACATGGGTCCTTCTGCCCCGTCTTCGATGGGCAGATTCAACCCTGTTCGTCTCTACCCTTGTCGTCTGTCTTCTTCCCAACGGAACAGGCCATACAGACATCTCGTGCACCACCTGTTCTCCACGTTCAAAGACGCAGGGCAAGCTTGTACCATGTATCAGAGACCCGGCTTAGCTGCTACCGATGTTCCGAACCTGGCCTCACTGGACGATTGACCCTCCAGGGGTGTGGTGTCTTGGTCTGTGATAGATTCTTTTATACCTACGGCATGTCAGTGCCCGCTCACTGGCCTCTTCCTTTTGCTCCCTTCCCGTCCTCTCATTCTCGATTTCTCACTGGCTACCCGACCCTCCTTCACCACCACCAGTTCTTACTATCGATTGCTGGCTTATAATACACCAAGAGCTGGCTCTCTTCCTCTTGGACACCAGTGTGTGGGTGATGGTCTAACGGGTTGGCCTCGTACAACTCATTCCACTCCTTTTCCTTTCAGCACTTCGGAGCCTTGACATTCCTTTCACTTTGGGTAACCGCAATTCGCAATTTCCTTCTCTCTGTCCTTTCTGGTCATTCTGTTATCCCTCAAAGACGAGGTTCTACAATCCTTAACAATACTTGATATACACGGACTACTCGTGTCACCAATCAACCCGCCATCAGCGCTTTCATTCTACCACCGACCGCCTCACCTGCTCAGAAAGGCTCGCAGTTCTACCTGTATCCTCGTTCAGTCAAAACATTCTCTCATCTCGAGCTAACTACAAGGCCGACATACATCGAGTAAGTCCAACCATGACCCCTGAACGTATGTTCATGCTAACATCCCAGCCGTGCCCGTGACTTCCGGTCAACAACCAGTGGACCTGAGTGATCTTATTGGAATTATCGGGTAGTCATGGACGCAAGCCAGGAGCAATCCCGCAGACGGCTGCCCTTTTCCTTTGGGTTCTTGAAGAGACAAGAAGTGCCTTTCCATCAGCAAAACACCATGTCTGCTACGTCCGGGAATCAGTTGTCGACCGAGATGGAGCCCATGGCGCCTACTCATGGAATGTGGACAAACCCTACCTCTCAAGGTGTTAAGCCACGACCGGCAACTATCCATGAAGGATTCGCATATAGTATGGCTGGCGGCTTTGGGACTTTGCCCGCGTGGAATCAACCCTCTTTGAGCATCCCGCAAGCGCAACACACCCCAAGCGACGTCATGTTCCCGCCGACCTCGATGCCTCACGAGTTCTATCCGCAAACGACAGGTGAGACGACTGAAACGATTAGGGAACATGATGAAGTAGAGAAGCTAACGGTTCGATCAGACGCGTGGGGTCAGAGACATTGCGGAGAACATGTTGATATGCCAGCTTTGGATAACGACCTTGCAATCGGGCAGGCTTTTACCAGTGACGAGGTCGTTCCCATGGACCTTCAGTATCAGGGACATCAGCAGTTGGAAGGTGATCAGATGAACTTCGACGGCGGGTTGAACCAGCGCAGAATGTCTGGATCGTCGTTCAGCTTGTCGACTTCCGGTGCCTTTTCCGACATGCCCTCATACGATGAGTTTTCTGCCTCGCTTTCTGATGCGCAGTCCATCTCCGATTATCGGCCAACTTCGAACCGCAACTCGTACATGTCTTCAACACATCTTTCGCCTGTCGCTTCTCCGCGTATGACTCCTCAGACACGGTCGGATCTCGTACGGACACAGAGCAGAGGCCGTGCGTCGCCTTCCCCCCGGCCCCGGAGCGCGCGCTGCCCCATACAGCGTGGATGGTGGCAGGAGCAAGAGATGGTCAACTGGGTCTTACGGTACACCTGCTAGCAGAAGGCCTTCCCCTTTTGTTTACCACCACGGATCGCAAGACGCCTTCCACTCTCAAACCCGGATGCAGTCCCATCACTCCTCCCCCACGGTCGTTCAACCGCAGCTACCGCTCAGCTTTGGAAACCTGCAGGCAGTACAGCAGAACCCATATTTGCTTGGGAACAATGGCCCAGTACTTCAGCATGGCGGCATGCTTCTTCCGTCTCAACTGCCATCACATGGCTTCCATCCAGTACAGCATCACTTTGAACAACCACCTCCGCTGCTTTCTCATGGATTTTTTCGTATGCTTTCGAGCAATGCTGACCCCAGCTCCCTGCATCACCACTACGCCGATCTTTCGGATCCGCCTGATCTCTTTGCTGCACTCCAGGAGGAACAGCTTGATCCCCCACCCGAAGATATGAATCCCGACGATCCCGAAATGGTGCCCCATGAACAGGAGCTCAGGTTCGACGGCGACCTTTACACTCCCAAATGGGTACGCGGACACGGAAACAAGAGGGAAGGGTGGTGCGGAATCTGCAAGCCAGGGCGTTGGCTAGTGCTCAAGAACTCAGCGTACTGGTACGACAAGAGCTTCACACACGGGATTAGCGCACCGACAGGATGTCGCTTCCAGGAACCGCAAAAGATCAGGCGCATGGAAGGAAACCCGGAAGTATGGGAAGGCTTTTGTGGCACTTGTCGTGACTGGGTCGCGCTGGTGAGCAACAAGAAGAAGGGCACCACCTGGTTTAGGCACGCGTACAAGGTATGTCAAGGATCCTCTCTTTCACATTGAGTGCATGTCGCTAATCGTTGTCCTGGAATAGTGCCATACCCATACCAAGATCAAAGACACACCAAAGCGGCGAAGGGGGAGCAGTCACACGCGACCTTCAAGCATGATCAAAGCCAAAGCTGAACCGCAGATTGCTAGCCCGCTGGGAGGCCAAATGCAGGACAGCTCGATTGCGGAAACACCTTCCCTATCCCAGACGTCGGGGGAAAGCCAATTTGAGCAAGCACAAGATGATAATTGTTCATCATTGTCACCGCCATCTATGCAACCTCTTACACCGCAGCCATCCGCCGACCAGCAATCGGAGCTTTGTCAACCGCCCGGATTGAATTCGCACCTTGACAAACTGCAACCGCCGCCAATTCCTCCACGCGATGGGCGTCGCCATAATATTCACGCCCAGATCACATCTGCCCCTCGCTCCTGGCCTGCCCCCTTCACTGCTGAAGTGGCCAACTACCAGTGACCGTCCACAACGGTTGAATAGTTGAGAAACCTGATTGGAAATGGGTATTACTACGTCCAATCCACATCTTTCCTTGTTCTACTTTCCTCATTCCCATTTCTTCAGTTTCCTGAACATAGTTTGCTCACTGAACCATGTGGTGTTCCTAAGGTGCCAACAAACCATGGTCTGTTCTTTCCTTACCCCAAATTCGCTTGTCTAATCCCCTTCCCTTTTTACGGAAGCTGGCTACCATGAGATGTCGTTATGATCACATACGGAAATCAGAAAAGCGGAAAGCAAGTACACACACAAACAACTCCTCGGGAATGGAGTATGATCTCTTTAGAATGGGGGCTCAGGGCGATTTACTAGATACCTTACCTAGACTGGCACACTTTCTTATGATGTCACCTTTTCTCTATATGTCGACCTGATCTATTCAACGCGGGCGTCGCGAATACGATTCAGTGCGCGGTGGTGATGTGGTGGAGGATACCCGATTTCTTTATTTCTGCCTTTCTGTCTTTCATTCTCTTGGCTTTAATTGACCTTTTTGAATACTCACCTTTCTATACTCTCCTTCTTCCCCTTTATATACAGGACTTTTCCCGCACACTCTCCCCTCTTTGATGATTATTGTCGTAGGTTCATGTTAATCTTCTCTGCAGCTCTAGATGAGCCAAATGATACCCCAAATACAAGCCGATGACCATGATATCTATAAAATTGCCCAGCAACATAAATGTGAGACGGATGGAAAGAACGTAAGGCATGCGTGCCTTGTTGAGCCCGGTCGGCCTCGGTTTGGTTTGCGTTACGGACCCCTAGATTTTCGGCCTGACAAGGGGCGGAGGGGCCACATGTGCATGGTTGCCGGTGCGACCGGGTGGAGGTAAACAAATAAACAAACGAATGAAGTGACGTATGCGCAATAACTGGAAACAAATTTTCTTTTCACATTCTCCTCTTACGATTCATGAAAATCCTTTCCATACTGATTACCGTACCTTTCATGGCCCGACAGACGCAAAGTATTGTAATCGCCCAATTTTGTTCGCAGAAGAATGACAAAGCGTAGTCTTGGGCATTTGTTTACTGGTACGTAAAGGTATGCTAATTTTTTACAAACACTTGTCGGGCCTGCGGACCCTAACGGCCTCTGGTGCCACCTGGCCGGCAGGGGTTTAAAGTGCTTGCATGACAGTTCAACAGACGACAGCTGGGATGGGATGATGGCTCGGGCGCACCTGTGCAATGGAAAGTCAGATAAATGATGACATTGCATCCATAGATTTGTGACCAGCAAGTGCCTCGGAGACATCCACTTCAAGCCAACACTTCTCCGACATTTTTATAGTGCACGATGTGCACCATGTATTTGAGGCTATCTGCGACACCGAATATGACAGCAAGCAAACGAAGGAAGGAAGGTGCAACACATGGTCGCCAGGCACGGCTAGTGTCTGATTGGCACGCTGCACGCTATGGAGAGGGGCTATAGCGTGATAGGATGAAGTAAGGCAGAGGCAGCAAGCAAGTTGGTAAGAACACCTTCCTATTGAGCAACAGCTTCCTCACCGCCCGCGCAGTTCAGTCACGATGTTTGGACAAAAAGTCATGGGTTTCACTGGGGGGAAAACATTGCCTGCCACCTCACTCCAGCGAAGGCCGTGCGTTTGTTCGGAGTGGTTCTACTGTGTATGGCATCCACATTGGAAATCGGCAACCGCCGGCGGAGGTGCTCGGAGACGGGAGGGGGGACGAGCGAGACCGACTCCACTGTATCCGGGGTCAGGTTCGTCCCGAAACTTACAACAATGACGGGAACGTTCGGCCGAGCGTTGAACTCGAATTCGGTCCAGGCAGCCCTGCGGCACTGGCACTATGGCGCTACGGGAATTTTGTCAGGACTTGTGAACGACATCGTTTCTGACTTGGAATAGTTCTCAATAATGTTCAAGCAAAGTGTTCTTACTCACATATTATAGACGCGGGGCAAGCTGTCAGGCAATTAAAGCAACAGCGGGAATAAGGTAGAGTACCTACCTACGTGAAAAGCACAGCGGGAAGATGTGAACTGGCTGCATCCCAACAACGGTTTGATGTTGTTACGCACCTTGACTCACATCGTCCCTTGGGAAGATAACGACAGGATGGGCAGCATTCCTGTTGAGAACACCGACACTATTTCCAAGGTATTTTGCCAGGGATATATGGCTCGGTGGGTACTTGGACAGCTCCCATGATATAATACCATCCGAGCAAACTGAAAATAATCCCCCAGAAACCGGACCGTTCCTGACTTGTCCCCAACCCGGCAACGGGTGCAAGACATGCAGACGACGGCTGGCTGGCTCTGTCCCCTTGTGCCTTGTGCAGGAGAAGCAGGTGTCGCCTTGACTGCACACCTAGAGGCACCTACCTCCAAGCCAAGCTCGGGCAAGTAATTCTTTGCATTTTTGGGCGAGGTTCGGTTTCCTACCGCCTACCCCTTCCATTCAATCTCCTTGACCTTGACACTGAATGCGGTGATTGTATTTGTCGGCGGAATATAAATCATCTGTACCTGTTGAATGGCCATGTTGTAGCACAGGGAAGTCCCTGATGAGCGGAGAGGGACAGCGGGGGTCGAGACCTGTGCCACCAAAAAGGCGCTTGCAAAGCACCTGCTCTTTTAGCACAGACCTCAGGCGGTAATACCTGCATGCAGGAGGTACCGTAAGGTATGGAAACGCAAAAGCAACGGGGACACGCATTCGGGTTACAAACATACACGATACCGTGACAATTATCATGGTACGTAATACAGTAACTTTTTTTGCTTTCGAATTTCTCGCAACGAGCCGTTGTCGAGCCTGATGTTTTTCAGCCCCAAAAGATACTGGAACTTTTCTTGCCTTTTTCTTCCTACACAATCATGACCAGCAGGCATTCCATCCCCATATTTTCCCGAGTCCAGCTACATACCGGATCAACTTTCGTCTTCTAACGAAACCTCATGTCTTTTACTTTCTTGATCTTCTTCTTCTCCTCCCTGTGTTACTAGGTGAGCCCGTTGTTTACTAGCTCCCTCCAGCTGACACCCCTCCCTGAATTCACATCCATCCCTCATTTTCCGTTAGGACGACGTGCACTAACCAGAGGACTATCATCCGTTCCCCGTTCCCTATAGGATCCAAAAAAAAAAAAGTTGAACGATTATCACGGCTACGATCGGCGAGGGAATTCCACCAGCCCCGAGTTCGAGTAATTATCGAAAAAAGCAAACGTTCAAGAGTTCAAAAGTCAGCAAAGAAACAACACGTAAACAAGACCGACTATCGTTACCTTTTTTCAACCCCCTCAGCTTGCCATCAGCTCCATATTCCATCCTCGGCCCTTCCTATCCATACTGTACCCGAACCAAACGACTCGAGGATCTCTCCTCACCGTTGACACACCAATCCACCCATTAGCAGATTTTCCACCTCAACCTCAGCTTGGCATTGGGATATATGTATGGCACAAGACAGAAACTGATATGAGCGGGGATCAGCTGGCTTGCAGGTTAGCCAGTTCATACCACCATTCTGTTATCCCGGATCGTCCTCCTTGAGAGACTGGCATCTATTGTTCTTCTTTTTACTGACCCTCTCGTCTCTATAGCAGCTTTGGTGACCAAACCGCTCAGCCGCCAACACCTACCCGAACCCCGATCTCCAATACCTCTCCGACTCCCCTCTTACATACGCCCAAGACCAACAGGAACTACGCTGAAGAAACGGTGGGCTGGACTCCTGGTTTTGCCAAGGAGTATTCCCTCTTCATCAGCAACACACCAGGATACCCTAGAGAAGGAGAAGGTCCATCTGAAGAGTTTGGCTCCAGGGAACCGGCCATCACTTCGTCTGGCCAGAAGGGGTCGCCGTCAGCGGGCCGAGCTGCCGCGGTACTGACCGCTTCTGCGAACCCCTCCTCTTCTGATTCGGCACAGCTACTGCCTCCGGTAGAGCCTTTGGTTGGTTTAAGCCTGCCCCGAGAGCCATTGGTCACATCGAGCCTCAACAGTTTGCCGTTCTCGAACCAACTGTTCCACCCTGCGCAAAACAGCTCGGCTCAGAAGATATCACTTGATACCATTGATCTGGAACGAGTCCAAACCGTAACACCTCCACCATCACGTCACAAAGGCGAGCGCAAGCTTGCCACTCGGCTCGAAGCCAGCGTTATGCAAAATGATCAGGAATTTGTTCATCAGGGATTTTTGGAGACATCCCATCCGCCAGACATGGGCAGTTATGTGACCAACCAAGGCGACATGTTTAACTTCCAGCTCACCGGAACCACGACAGGCGATTTCGCTAACCAGCAACCCTTCTGGAAGACGGATCCTAGCTTGGAGGGAATGGATATCGACTTCAATGGTGCGAGCAGCAGCTTGTTTCGACAGGAGCCGCACCCCCCGTCCAGGCCCATGAACTCGCTGAACTGGGAAACTTCGACCCCGAGCCACTTTATTCCGGAGAATGTGCTGGTCAATGGCGGTCGGGTTGTGTCAGGTGGTGGAAGTGAACATGTCATGGTGTCTCAAGCGCCCATGCAGGCCTTAATGGCCTCATCAGCGGATCAATCCATGTATACTGGTACATATGCTACTGCTATCGATAACTCCTTTGGGATAATCAACACCGGCGTGGACCCGGGCCTGCTCTTCAGTCGGCCGTCGTCTGCTAGTATGGATGTTTCCCTTGACGCCGTGGCACAAGAGTCGTCGCGTGGCTCATCGTCACGTCAGATGGCTCAGGGTGCCCAGTCGAGAAGCCAAGGTGCGTCAGTTGCAAAGGTGCCATCTCGCGGTGAGCTACGTCGCTCAGCCAGTGAAAGGGAGATGGAGCCACGAAAAAAGGACAAGGTACGAGCGACCCTCCTGTCAAACCCATCGGCCGTCCCGGTCTAGGGAGGAGTCTCAGTGAGAATAGAGGCAAGAGGTCAGGAAGTCGAGTCATCTTGCCGGCTCTAGCACCGGCTCCACGTCCGCAGTCTCAGTTATCCAACGGTGCTGGCTTGGGCATTAGCCGCCCTGTTTTCTCACAGCCCAGTAGGTCAAGTGGCAGGCTATCGCCGTTAAAGAGCAGCCATCAACGGCTGTCCAGCCTCACATCCATTCCAGAGACGGCGGGCCCGCGGACAAGGACGCAGGCAAAGTTCACCATCGACGAGAACGGTCGAGCCCGTGTAGAGACGGCGCTCGTTGTCGAGCGTGACAGCCCTCTGGCCGTCCGGAAGCGGACTAGTTCGCAGTCAGTAGGTGGCCGTCGCCGCTGGTGTTCGGAAGATGACGAGTCTTCATCGGATGACGAGCCGATCATCATCCCCAGCAGAAACACGTTGTTTTCCATACCGGACCCTCGCAAATCGAGGACGGCTGTTAATTCTTTCAGCCACTCGCAGCCGAATTTCAGTTTCAGTGCGCAAAGCACAACATCGTTGAGTTCGTTCCGGTCTGGCGGTGGGTTCCAGGGCCTAGACGACGAGAGCGATGAAGAGATTCTCTTGCACGAGATGACTCCGACCAGCAAGATGTCAGGCGATGCGGTCAATGAGCTCCTCAAGCTGCGAGAAGATCGGATGAGGCAGCACAAACCTTCACCCTCGAAGATGAGGCGGCTTACGTCCAGCAGCCACAGCAATAGCACGGGGACGATTGCGAGCATGAACTTTGCCAGCCGGTTCACAGCATCGCCCACAGCACTGACTGAGGCGAGTATACCTACACCCTCGTCGTCCGATGCAACGGCTAGCATCAGCCAGAGGCGCTCGGTGCGTTGTATTTGCAAAAGGCCTGATCTCGACCCGGGGAATGCCTTTATGGTTCAATGGTACGTTTATCTCTTTCTCCTCTCCTGCAGAGTAGCACAACACCAGCTGAGCAAAGCTAACAATACGGGTTGTCAACCACACAGCGAATCATGTGAGATGTGGTTACACGGAAAATGCGTGAAGATTGCTTCGCAACGGGCCTTGCCGTCCATATATATCTGCGCATATTGTGCCAACTTGAAGACGACGATACCCCGCGTACAACGCCGCGGCGGCGGCAATGGAGTTTATAGCAGCTCATCACGGACTGTGAGACAGTCTGCAGCCGTTGGGAAAGGGACACCAGGGGAAGGCACGACAATAAGACCTCAGTCAGGGTCGTCGTTGGGGTCACCGCTGGCACACAAGTCGTCTTTCAAATCATTTCGTTGAAGAAGCTGTGTTAACCATGTGGACTGCGCAAGGGGTAAACGGCACAATAGTAGTGCACAGAAATCTGGAAACCAAACAAAAACACTTGCTGGGAAATAGGAAAGGAGCGAAAACATCTACTTTTTGATTTTTTTTGTGAAGGCAGGTAATGCGACAGACAGCTAGCCGTTCCGGAAGAGAATGAAACGAGCACGGAGCAGAAGTGCACAATGATACCCGAATTACCTAGAGTTCTCTAGAGGAGCAAGATGGAGCGTATTGGTTGATGGCCATGTATCCCAAATGTTGATGTTGGGATAATACTAAGACTGCGTCTACTGTGTAGGCAAGTGTCTCAATGATTGACTGACTGATTGATTGTTTATTTTGGCTGGTCTGAAAAAGGGGTAACGAAGCTGAGCATCATGGGATCGGCAGTCCGAAGTCGTGTGCAAACGGATGTGTTTGCGGAGATCATGTCGGGATCCGGCCTTGGCTCCACAACTCGGGCTCCGGCTTCGCCCTGTCGGCGCCCGACTCGCCCTCGAAAGCGGTATGCCGGCTTGGACGGAGGGTTCCGGACTGGGGACAGGATTGACAGCAATTAGTCTCTGGACAAGCAGTTCTAGGTGAACCTGTCGGAGAAGAAGCCATCCAAAGTCCAGGCCCAAAGGCTGCGGTGTCGGCAGTAGCTCCCGGGCCGCTCACGGGCTAGGCAGCGGGAGCTGTCATCCGGAAACCTGGAGTCCAGGCGGTTGCTAAAAACGGAGCTGGCAATGGGAACGCGGAGCCCGATCGGAGTTTGGAGACAGCTCCAATGTCACAATGGGCGAGCCGGTGAGGTGATTGGACCTCGGGCAAAGATTAAAAGGAGGAAACATGGTGGCACTACACGGGTAGGAGCGCCGACCTCGGAAGGCGGGGTCGGCGCTGTGCGTGGAGCAAATGCAATGACTGACGAGACTGACAAGCTAGGAGCTCAGGGCGTGTGTGCTGTTTAAAGATCAGCGGTGCGGCAGACCGGATGGCAGAAAAGCGCGGAGCATCAATCCGATTCAACTCTTGAGAAGTAAAACGTCACTGTATCCTTTTCCTACTCTTTTCCTCTTTTTCATATTGTTACTTTTCACATCTTCTGAGCTTCGTGTGATACCCATTTCGACATCTCTTTTTTGGTAGGTAGCCCACGGTGACGTCCCAGCTGCCCTGCTCGATATCCACTGCAGGCGGTTTTCGGCGGCTTGACGGATTGGGTTCCATGTCCAACGTGGAATCTATTTGACCTGCTTTTGCGCAACCGGAAGACTGACCTTTCACACCACAGTTCCATTTTCCCCATTCCCATACAGCTTTGATAATTCCAGCGCTCCATACTTACATACAAGATGGCTACTCATAACATTGTTGTGTTCGGTGGTGACCACTGCGGTCCTGAGGTATGCTTCTCTGCCCTGTCCTCTCTCTGCTACTCTCTAGCTACGTAGCTTCAGCTTCCCAGCCCAAAGCATGGGATGCCCGGTTATCGGCCACCACCGATCTTTCGGGCTGGGAATCAGGGAAGCGCAACAAACTCTCGAGGAAGCGCAAATAGCTAACAAGTCTCTGTTTACTATAGGTTGTTGTTGAGGCCATCAAGGTACGTGCTTCAATGCATCTTACTCGCTAGCTGTATCGACACTATGCGCTGCGTTGCGCCGTTCGGGGGTACCTTCCCGTCGCGATCCGTGGCCCCACGCGACACAAGAATGACGGAGGACGAAGCTTTCCGATTTCGCTCCCGACTTGAACAGTTCCCCTAGCACCATCGTGCATACCTTGTACCATGCGGCCTTCCCAACGATCGCGAGACTCATCCAGTTGGACTAGAGAGCTTACTTGTGGTTTTGTTTGTCCATTAGGTCCTCAAGTCGATCGAGACCAACAGCCCTTCGGCTGGCAAGTTTAACCTCCAGAACCACCTCCTTGGCGGTGTAAGTTTACCTTCAACCCTTGATAGGCAGTTGGGGCCAACGGTTACTGACACCGCATGTTTACTTGTCCCATAGGCCTCCATTGACAAGCACCATGACCCCCTCACCGATGAGGCCCTCAACGCCGCTAAGGCTGCTGATGCCGTCCTTCTCGGTGCCATCGGCGGTCCCGAATGGGGCACTTCCTCCACCGTCCGTCCCGAGCAGGGTCTCCTGAAGCTCCGCAAGGAGCTCGGCACCTATGGCAACCTCCGCCCTTGCAACTTCGCTTCCGAGTCCCTCGTCGACAGCTCTCCCCTCAAGGCCGAGGTCTGCCGCGGTACCGACTTCATTGTCGTCCGTGAGCTTACCGGCGGTATCTACTTCGGCGATCGCACCGAGGACGACGGCTCCGGCTACGCCTGCGACACCGAGCCCTACAGCCGCGCCGAGATTGAGCGCATCGCCAGACTCGCCGGCTTCCTCGCCCTGGCCAAGAACCCTCCCGCCAAGGTCTGGTCTTTGGACAAGGCCAACGTGCTTGCCACCTCCCGCCTCTGGCGCAAGACCGTGACCGACGTCATCAGCAAGGAGTTCCCCCAGCTCCAGCTCGAGCACCAGCTCATTGACAGCGCCGCCATGTTGCTCGTCAAGAACCCCCGCGCCCTCAACGGCGTCGTCATCACCAGCAACCTCTTTGGCGACATCATTTCCGACGAGGCTTCCGTCATCCCCGGCTCCATCGGCCTGCTCCCCTCCGCTTCCTTGGGCGGCATTCCTGACGGCAAGGGCAAGTGCAACGGCATCTACGAGCCCATCCACGGCTCCGCTCCCGATATCAGCGGCAAGGGCATTGTCAACCCCGTCGGCACCATCCTCTCCGTCGCCATGATGCTCCGCTACTCGCTCAACCTCCCCAAGGAGGCCGACGCTGTCGAGGCCGCTGTCAAGGCTGCCATCGACAACGGCACCAAGACCAAGGACCTTGGCGGCAGCGCTACCACTTCGGACATGGGTAACGCTGTTGTTGCTGAGCTGGAGAAGATCCTTAAGGCCTAGGTTTAGAAAAATCTGGAGCTGAATGGGTATCGGGGAGGAGGTGCGATCCAAGCAAACCAGTCCTCTTTGCGCTGTATTCATACGTAGGAGTTATGGTTAAGAACAGACGGGCGTATTGGGATATGTGTTGGAGGAAAAAGTTGAGACGGGACAGAAGGGTCCCCTCTCGTGGATATACAACGAGATACCACAGCGATCGATGCTATATTGAGTTCAAATCTACCCAAGTCCAGATAGCTTGGCTCACTATCTCCCGCGATTGTGTAGCCCCACCGGAGACACCTATAGCTATCCGGTACATGAGCCAGGTTACAACATAGCTTCTTTTTTTTTTTTTTTGCCCAGACGATCTAGAATTCGAGATCTCGTAAATAGCAAACAAAGCAGTGGGGTAACGCAGTCGGTTGATTGCGAATCGCGCGATGGGGGAATGGAGATGGTTGGCGCCCGCACGGTAGATCTTTTACAGCAGTGGCCTCTTTCAGGTTGTTCGGAGTAACTCGACTTGTCACGATACACTGCCGGAGAGTTTATGCGAGGATTCTGGTCTCGGGGCGGGCGGATCGTACTTCACTGCTTGGTACATGGGGTGAGGGAATACCTACATTGTGAGCCTCGCGAGCAGAAGCTTAGAATACAGTCCTAGAGTCTAGACTGAATTCATTGGACTCCGATTCGCTCGGAATCTGATAATGCGATGGTTTCTTTTATTCTAGGGGCTTTTCTAGCCCAGACGAGTAGTCCTTCATTCGCATTTGCGACAGACAGTGACTATGTATAGGGGAAATGGTAGGCAGTACTATGAACATTTCCAGTCATTCACCCGATACCCTAGTAGCTCCCCACTCCTCTCTGCTCTTTCCCTTTTCCACAGCCGAAGCCCTTACGCTGCCCAACTAATTCAGATACAGTCATCTGTAACTAGATAACCAAGCTATGGAACCAAGAGCCTCTTTTACCCCGCGATTATATAGGAAAACATGTAGGTAAGAGAGAGCGAGAGTCCCTTATCACGATAGCGGCTGGCGGTGGGGACGCATGCGCAATCCAATCAATGCATGATGTTGCTGAATAGTGATTGGTCAATTTGTCTTTTTTTTTATCGCTTTTAATGATCGCTATCGTCAATCATACCCTTCCCTTTCCACTTCGTCCCGCGGCAGCAGCGTTGATTGTGGGATACTGTAGCTGCGGATGGTTGGTGAATTGCGAATGCGCGGGAGGGAGGGGGTTTGGTTGTGGGATTGTGTAGCAACCTGGAAGGGGTGCAATATCTTGAGCGGGAGGTCAAAAGAAGCAAATTCTCCAAAGGTGGAAGGTCCATGGGTGAGGTGACGTCGGTTCGTTCCTTGTCCCGCCCCCCGCCGCCGCCTTGTACCCGTTATGTGTGTGCTGTGTGTGCTGTGTGGTTTGTATGGCCTCGTCCTTTCTACAGGATTCGAGGATTTCGAAACACAACCGGACGCAAATGCGATTCTTGTTGTGCGATGGAAAATAAAGGTATCATGACAACCCAATGCTCCCTCGTGATTAGTCTGGCTTTTCCTCTCTCTATCCCGATTTTCTCAACCTAGCGGCTCTTCTACACATCAGGTCTCAACCAGTCTCCTCCTCAAAGACAACCTAAAAACCTAAACTAAAAAGAACCAGGGACCCCTCGACCTTTTTCTGGTTTTTTTTTTTCTCCGCTTTGCATGTCCCACAAGACATCCATAGAAGATCCACAAGCCCATTCATTCACACCTCACAATTCACAACAACACCGTCCCGTCGATTCCACCAACAGTTGCAGCAGTTGCAGCAGCAAACAGACTACCCCAACGTTGTCCCACGGTCCCATCGACTTCTTGGCTTTGTTAATCCCATCTCCACTTGGAGATTCGAACCACCCAGTTGAGAGCCGGCATCACCCTGGCTTGCCGTCTGGGCTGCGTGACGCAGTACGCATTAGACTACCTCTAGCCCTTGAAGACTACCTAGCCCATCGTCGAAACCGAACGTGTCTACCGGTGCCCGGTTCGTTGCGACTCTTGTCATTTGCGAAGCTAGGGAAAATCAGTCTTTGTCATAGCCGCCACATCGGGTCTGGAAGTGGAACTACGGGTAACGAGGAGAGGGGGTTTGTTCACCAGCTGTGTGTTGTGTGCAGTGTTTTGTGTTTTGTTTAGTGTGATCCTCCATCCATCCTCGTCTCTTGTCCAACTCTTTCGTGATCGCCTCGCTTTCCTTCTTTCTTCCCTCTTTTGCTCCCTCTCTCTCTCTCCCCCTCCCTCCCTCCCTCTTTCTCCTACTTCCCACTCTTTCCTCTCGCTACAGCATCATAGTGATACAGGAAAACGACCTTGGACTATTCATACCCCAAGGTCACACCACCCCGATGTCGTCAAGAAACCCAACAACCTGGGACCAGTACGAGCGCGGGGGTCGGTCTCCCGGCAGAAATGGCAGTTTCTCCTCGGTGGGAAACAGAAGTGTTCAGTTCGAGGACGAGTCACTGCTTGGACGCAGTGTTGATGCTAACGGCTACGGCGAGGATGGGGAATGGCCACAGTTGAGGCGTAGGAGGCAAGTGGACTAGCCTGCAAAGTTGAAACTAGTTATACTACTGACTGCTAACCACCCAAACCCGTCGCAGATCTTCCATCACCAACCGTCTTTCCGCCGTCGCCGATATTGGTGGTGTCAACAGTATCCGCTCCTTCACCAGGAGTTGGCAGCGCGCCGCCGGCTTCAGCGAAGTCATCCCCCAACGTCCGTCCTTCGTCTTCGCCCCCGATCAAGCCCCGATAGCAGTACCGCCTTCCGGCGCCGCTCCCATTCAGTATGGAAGGAGTGATCTCGAAGCTGGCGAGGCGACGCCACGGTCGTCTCTGTTGCGACAGCACTTTGAATCTGCTGGCTCTGCTCCTCATGACGAGGTCGCGGAACCTAGCACGGCAACCACGGCAGCGGCGCAACGGCATTCGGCCGATTACCGAGAACGCGAGGCGAAGGCGCTTGAGAATGAGCTTGCCCAGGGATTTCGTGTAGGAAGCGCAACAGGATCGATATTTGCTGTTCCGCCACACCTGGCTACTCCGCCGATCGTGGGCAGTTATGGGACGATTCCCGATTATGGGACGATACGGTCCAGGGGCAGCATAAGCAGGCAGTCGATAGACCAGGTCTCGGTGCTCTGGAGGGAACCGCAAGAGGTTCCGGCCAACGTGCCCGATCAGGAGCTACCGCCTATTCTGGTGAAGGAGGTTGAGCAGGACGGGAAGATTGTGTTGGCTGTTGAGGGACAGTCGACGCTCCCGCAGACCGTGTTTAACTCTATCAAGTAGGTCTAGGGCGCTCTTCACACATGCTCTTCGATTACACCCCAGCGCTTACTAACACAGGCTTTCCTCTATAGTGTCCTCATTGGAGTTGGACTCCTGAGTTTGCCCATGGGCATCAAATACGCTGGTTGGCTCTGCGGCATGGTCACTCTGTTTCTGTGCGCCGCCGTAACCATCTACACCGCGAAGTTGTTGGCGAAATGCATGGATTTGGATCCTAGTCTGATTACCTTTTCCGACCTCGCCTTCATCTCGTTCGGCCGAAACGCGCGCATAGCCACCAGTATCCTCTTCACGCTGGAGCTACTTGCTGCTTGCGTCGCCCTCATCGTTCTCTTTGCCGACTCTCTGGACCTGCTGTTCCCGGGCTTCCTGTCGGTCACAGGGTGGAAGATCATCTGTGCGGTCATCATGGTACCGTTGAACTTTTTGCCGTTGAGGTTGTTGAGCTTTACGAGCATTATTGGCATCTTCTGCTGTTTTTCGAGTAAGTAGCGCTAAAGTGTCCTCTCTCATAAGAGCGTTTCTTCTATCTGTTATGGTTCATGGCTAACTAGATTGCGCCCAGTTGTTCTCATCTTACTCACAGATGGCTTCCTCAAGCCCACAGCGCCTGGTTCCCTTATCGAGCCTGCCAAAACCTACATGTTCCCGCAAAATTGGTTAACGTTGCCTCTTTCTTTTGGTTTGCTCATGTCTCCTTGGGGCGGCCATAGCGTTTTCCCAAATGTAAGATAAATAAATAGCTCCAAGAAATGCAAGTGTCTTCATATGCTGACAAACCGTGTTTAGATCTACCGAGATATGAGACATCCCTACAAATATACAAAGGCGTTGAAGATCACCTTCTCGTTTACTGTACGTCGCTTCTTTTCTCCCTGATAATATACAACATTTACTGACCGCATTGCAGTACCTCCTAGACGCAACCACAGCAGTAGCCGGCCTCCTCATGTTCGGCGACGGCGTTCGCGACGAAATCACATCCAACATCCTGCTTGAGACTAGCTACCCCAAGGTCCTGACCTTCTTCATGTGCGCCTTCGTCGCCATCATCCCGCTCACCAAGATCCCGCTCAACGCGCGCCCCATCATCGCCACGCTCGAGGTCCTGTTCGGCCTACACACGACAACAGTTGCCGAGACCTCCGGTCTCGTGGGCCGCTCCATGTACTTCCGCGGCGTCATGAAGATTGCCATTCGAGCGCTGACCGTCTTCTGCTTCCTGGTGATATCCATCGTCTTTCCCGCCTTTGATAGCATCATGGCTTTTATGGGGAGTGCCTTGTGTTTCCAGATTTGTGTCATGTAAGTCTTCCCACACCAAACTCGGCTTCCTCTTTTTCCTTCACTGGTTGGCTCACCATGCTAACAAAGTACTCTTTTCACAACAGTCTACCAATTCTCTTCTACCTCAAGCTCTTCGGCAGCAGCATCTCGCGCAGAGAAAGGATCTTTGATTACTTCCTGCTTGCGATATCCATCACTTTGTCTACCGTCGGCACCGTTTGGGCTTTTCTGCCCAAGACCATGTTTGTTCCCGAATAAGCACCATACTGTAGATAGCGGGCGAGAGCCAGGACGGTCGGCGTTGTCGTTGCTACATACGAATAGTGAATGAATAGCATGCTGTTGAGGTTTACCTATGGGTCTTGTGGGCTTGGGATGAAGCATTTGTTGTGTTGTACTGCATCGTGTCCATGGATGGTGGTGTCGGTTTTTTTTTTTTCCATCTCTTCCGGTCTGGTCTGGTCCAGTCTGGTTAGATTAGACTAGTAGGTGGTAGCCTTTGAATCCTTTTGCTGGCTCTCAACCGCCTATCTTGATGCCCGTCTGTCTGTCCTTGCTCCATCCTTCCTTGATATCTATCGGTTTGAATCCATGAGTATAGATTGAATCGATGTTAACGATACCATGTGATCAATAGCACATGCCAACATCGACCAGACCTTTGGTTCCTTGGGTCTTCCATCCCATATGCCATGACAGCGCATATGGGAACCTTCATCCAATCCAGATAGATGCCTTACCTCTTTTAAGATAACCAGACCATTTCCACATGGCAGGCAGTCAAAGCAGATCACAGCTCCATTGCAAATAACACGAAGTGTTTGATGTAGTTCATCGTATTTTCATCTCTTTCCATGATAAAACAACAGCGGGCCAGGCTACTCCTCACAGTCCAACGTCACCTGCCAATTCCGTCACTGCTTCACTTGGACCCGCAAACCCACTTAAGACAATCGAACCACCTTCCCAGGGCGCCATCCGTATGATTTGTTTACACAAAAATAGGGGGACAATAACAACACTGAACGTAGACCTCAACAACACTGGCCACCCCTTTTGCAACTCCCCCCCACCCCTATTTCCCACAGACTCATCCTGAGTTAGCTTGATCATGCATACCCAAGGCAAGTGGTCCATTTCTTTCTTTCTTTCGTCTCATAACGCATGCTACACGTATCCACTGCTGCTATACTTCTGGGTTCGTATTTCGGATTTATACAAAAATGGTCATGGTTGGGAAACCCCCTGATTCGAGCCCCATTAGACGTGCCGATTCTATGGCGTTTTGCGTGTTTGATCGGCACAGTCGCAGTACAGCTGATCGGGGAGTGATTATACACGATTCAAATCCATAACGAGTTTGGTTCTCGAGCTTGCTTCTTAAAAGTCCTGGAACAAGTGGCCGAATCTGATCTGCATGTTAGCACCAACCTACGACACATTCACTTTCAACACCGACAAACTTACTCATCCGACCCTCCTGATCCATACCGCTCAGTCTCCTCTGGGTACCTATCGAACTGGCTTGCGTCTCCTGCTCCGGCCTTGACCGGCGGGGTATAGGGCGCATCAATGTCTTTCCTCGCAAGTCGGTCCCAGGTCACCTCGGCAAACCAAGGGTGTCTCTTGACGTCTGAAGGCCCGCCGTACAGGTTTCCAAGGCGCTTGGTCAGGTCTGCCGTGATCAACCGTTCCAACAAGTCCTGGGCGTCGGGGTTGACCCACTGCGGGTATCTGACCTTGCCCTTGAGAATGTTTTCGTAGATCTTCATGGGGGAGCTTCCGTCCCAGAAGGGCGTGTAACCGCAAAGCATTTCGTAAATCAAAATACCCAGCGACCACCTGTGCAGATTTCATCATGTTAGCTGTCGAAGCATCACTGAAAGACACCGGAACAAAGGGCTTACCAATCTACAGATTTGTTGTAGCCCTTGTTGGAAACAACCTCTGGAGCCAAATAGTCTGGAGTGCCACATAGCGTCCACGTCTTATCTGGCACTCGCTTGGCGAACCCGAAATCCGTAATCTTGAGATGGCCGTGGCGGTCAAGAAGAAGGTTTTCAGGCTTCAGATCTCTGTAAATGATATCCCGCGAGTGCAGGTACTCCAAGGCCAACGTGACCTCAGCAGCGTAAAATTTGGCAACGGGGTTAGGGAAGCGCTATAAGATCCGTTCGTGTCAGCCGCACATACACATACATACTCCTTCACTATAATAAAACCATCTAAAACTCACCCCGGACTTCCTCAGCAGCGAGAAGAGCTCGCCACCCTCTACGAAATCCATCACCATGTAGAGATTCTTGGAGTCCTGAAACGTTCCCCATAGCGTGATTAGGAAAGGGTGCTTGACCTCCCCGAGCATTCTTCTTTCGTCATTGGTGTGTTCGACTTGCTTCATCTTGACCACTTGGGCCTTTTTCAACACCTTGACGGCATAGAAGCGCGAGTTATGCCGAGACTGGACCAGGTGGACTCTGCCGAAGCTACCGGTGCCGAGGGTTCTCAATATCTCGAAGTCGGCGAGCGAATACTTGCCCTTGGTAACCCTGGGCTGACCAGGCTGAGGCTGTAGTTGCTGCTGCTGCTGCTGCTGCTGCTGTTGGGGCTGTTGCTGTTGCTGCTGCTGAGCTTGAGATTGCTGCTGCTGTTGCTGGTGATGGGGCGGCTGCAGTGATGCTTGCTGTGTTTGGGGCATGGAGGGCTGGGGCGTGTGCGGCGCAGGCAGGCCGCCGTTAGCTGGGGATACAGATGGGACGTATCTGGACGACTGTTGATAGGTGCCGGGCTGGTCGTATTGCGGTTGGTGTATGAGGTTGGAGATGGACGGGAGGTTCTGCTGCTGCTCCGCGGCTCCAGGAGAGGGCGTGTGCTGAGGGGGATAGGAATGCTGTTGAACCGGGAGGGAATTCATGTTGACGGGAGTCTCGTGCGGCAAGGGGATGGGTGTGTGGTCTGTATCGATGGTGAAACTGGAAGTGCCGGCCGTGGCCGACTGGGAAGCGGCCTGCGACGCACTCGAGTGCGACGAGACCTGGGCGATGCTGCTCTGGATGGAGTTGTGGTTGAGGCTCGAGGCCGAGGTAGGGGTGACGGGGCTGGTTGGGTGGCTAGTCGAAGAAGGGTCCGTATTGCCCTCTTTCGCCCGTTTCTTTTTGAGGAAACCGAGGCCAGGCAAAGGCATCAAATCCTATTTCCGGGTCGACAGCCGAGCGAGACCTGGGCCGTCTAGGTAATTGGGGAGCTGGAGACGGGGGCCGGGACCGAGACGCGGCGGAGATGAGGAGAGGCGAGAGGAGGAAAGAATCGAGCAAGAAGCTGGATGGAGGAACAGGAGCAGGAGCAGAAGTGGAGGCGGCGGCGGCGGCGGCTGTCGCGACTGCAGGATGAATGCAAGGCAATCAGTAAACACGAAGCTTCAACGGGGGAAAGGCCAATTGGCACATGCGGCTGCTGCAGCGCATAGGGAACTGCGACCCGGGCTCTGAGCTTTGATGTTGGGTGACACCGGGAAGAAGAAAGAGATAGGGAAGGAACGGCAACCTCAAGGAGTGCAAGCGCAAACGCTCTGATCAAAGCAGTCGCGGTGCAACTCCGGCTGCGGTATCGGTGCTTCCTTCTCTCTATCTTAGCAACAACCTCAGGACCTCAACACCTCTGTGATACTACCGGACATCCGAGCGCGACAAAGTCTGAAGTTGTCCCTAGAGGTATGAGATAGAGATGCAGGTTTCGGGTCGGTCCTCTCTGTGTATTGACAAGCAGCGTCGCCACGTTGAAATGGAGTACCGTATGTGATAGCGGGAAAGTGGACGGGAGCGGGAGGGGAGGGGTTTAGAGCAATGCAGTGCAGTAGTGACATGTGCTTCTTCTTCTTCTTCTTCGGTGGACATATTAGACTAATTGGACACATACCAGACAACTTACTACTTCTTGGCAGGACTACCCAGCGAGCGCTCGTTTGTGTGTGGCTGCGGAGAGGATGAAAAGACGGAAAAGAGGCCAAATAGCTGATCGAGTAGTTGCGTAGATGTTATGGTGAAGCGTGGTGTGGTGTGGTAAAGACTAGCAAAAAGTGAGGAGCAAAGCGGAGAGATGCGGCGACGTCAGGAATTGAAGCCGGAGGTGTGAAGTCACGCAGCGTTCCCCCTCCCTTGCAGGTTGCCTTTTCCTTGTAGGGCGGGGCCGAGTGCGGTGAAATAAGACTGGGGTAAGGTGTTTTGAACTGGAACCCTGTCAAGTGAATGTAGAGAATTGCTGTTGCGTGGTTGCTGTACGGTCGAATGGAGAGGAGCTGAGGGCTGAGTTGGAGGGCCGAATGAGGAGAACCAAGAGTGAGGGATGTCGAGGCTGAGGTGCAACCAAGACAACAGAAAACAAGAAGAGTTAAAAGTTGTGACAAAGATGGGAACGGTCAGGACGACTTGTGTGCGTTCTTTCTTGGGAATTGCTTGTCCTAGGTATTTACATAGGGAGACGTTTCTCTGTCTCTGTACTTTTAAGAGCCACGCGCACGCCCCAATTGTTTTCTGGTAGCTGAATCGGAGGGCCGAGTGGAGGATGGGGGGGAAATGCTTCTCTTTGCTTTCATCGTCGCCTTTTGCTTTTCTTGTTTGTCTCCCCATGTGGAGCGCGCCCCTGGTCAAGTCTCCCCTTGTTAGAGACGATCCCTAGAGAGACTTTTTGTACACTTGGCCGAATCCAACCATCTCCTTAAAATACGTCAAAGAGAAGACAACCAACGCCCAGTTTGACAATTCCCACTTCACCCGTATATAAATCCGGGACGCATCGGCTGCTTTTACAAGTCAAACGTTCACCAGCCATGATCAAATGGTTACCTGCTGTCAAGCCAAGTCAAATGTCTGAGTCGTCTCTGAACAAGGTGCGACTGCGGGGACACTTCAACTTGACAAGCTCCCGTCACCTTGTGCCTCACAGCTGGAGTCAGTCAGTGGTTGAAGTCACTGCGGGACCTCGTGGGAATTCCAGTGACATTGGAGGGGCCTGAGGAGCCGCCGGGTGGTGTAAAAGGTGGGGTTGCCTCTACCCTTTGGAAGGGATCGTCCCTGTCGGATACACTTGTCGAGGTGCCCATCGCATCGTCATCGTCTTCGGGATCCAATCACGTCACCTTGGACTCGTGTCGAAATTGGGGGTCAGCCAAACTCTCAACTCCGAGCTCACAAGGCGGGAATTACTACCGCTGTGTCAATTTCTTTTTCAACCGACCATTGACTTTCGGTGGAAACTCGCGAGTCGGGGAGGCTACCCGGCCCGTCATTATACCCACCGGCATGGGATCCCGTTTGTCGGCAGTTTATAAAAAGCAGGAACCCTGTGCCTCGGGGGGAACAAAACTGTGGTTTTCTACGTGTACGGTCACCTCCAGGACATCGGCCTATATATCTCGGGAATAGGTTGGGGCAGAGATCTAGGGAAAGGCTCATTTTGACCGTCGCAATGAGTAAAAGGGCAGTCGTCTCAGAATACTACCTCCTCGGGCAGAGGGGCAAGCTCAAAATACACCAACACAAAATGAAAATAGACCGTCCGTGCCACCCGCGCCAATGCAGAAACTGTATGTGCGAATCCTCATCCTCTTTTTCTTTTTCCCCTCCATTGCGTATCGCGATTCACCGCCACCACTCCATTGTAGTCAACCCATGTCCTCTCCCTTAAAAGCGATGGCTGCGCTGCTGCTTCGTCCTGTACGCCGTGTATCCAACATAGGCGCCTCCCACCGCAAAGAAGAAGAAGAGCGTCTTCACCAAGAACCAGGTCCAGCTGCCCTCAGTCTGCTGACCCGTAACCTTCTTGCCCTTGCCACTGCCAGGGGTGGACTTGGTCGGGGGAGCGGTAGTGTAGAGGTTCCTGGCGTTGACCGAGATGATGTCGTGGTTGTCGCTGAGCTCGCCCGTCTCGGCCGTGAATCCGAGGTAGGCCACGGGAGGGATCGTGGGCGGCTCGTTGGTCTCGAAGCAGAGGACCCACTCGCCCTCGTTCTTGTACTGCAGCTCGAGCTTCAGGTACTTGTCCTGGAAGTGCGACAGCTTGAACTTGGTCGGCACGTTGGCGTGCCTGATGCCGCGAGCAGAGCAGCCGGCGAGCTCCTGGTTCTTGCCATCCGTGTCCTTGTCGTACGAGGTCCGGCCGTCGCCCACCATGGCCATGACGTAGGGGAAGACGACGCCGGGCCGGTTGTTCTTGTACGTGTCGAAGAAGATGCCGAGGCCCTCGAATCGGTCCTGGTTGCCGAAAACGGGTCCTTCCCGCCCGCGCTCCTTGGTGAGCCACATGGCGAATCCATCGCCGTACAGCTGGTTCTTTCCGTGGATCTTGAACTCGACCTCGATTTCCCAGTTGGTTGCTGTCAAGGGCACCTTGGACCAAAGGCTGCCCATCTGCGACGGCCGGTCGGATGTGAGACGGATGTACCTTTTGGTAAGTAGTACGGTTAGCGACGTCTTCCTGTGGCCAAGTTGAACGGGTTGCTGCGCGGGAGCAACTCACTGGTCTGTACGAATAATTGTGTCTCCTCCAAAGTCATACCACCGACTTTGCATGTCCGAGTCCAAGTATGGCTGTAGGTTGTGAACAATACCGCGTTAGTCATGGTTGTCGTGACAAGACTTTGTCATCGACAGGGTCAAGTCCCTCGAGATACGGAGATTATGGGCGCATACCTGGTTCAAGCTATGCGTCCTGAGCTGTTGGAAGAAAGCGTTAGCACCATGCGCAGAATGGCGCGAGGCAGAGCTTCCGGAACTCACTCCAATGCTCTTCACGTTGCCCTCTGCATCTTGCTGTACAGCACCGTGTGCCGCCGTGGCCAGCCACAAGGCCGAGAGTGCCGACGTCAACAACTTCATCATGATACCCACTAGAAACCTAACCTAACGATGCGGCGCAGATCTGCTTGGTAGGAGGCGGAGGAGGAGGAGAAGGGGGGAGGAGGAGGGAGTAGCGATAGTGTTGTTTTGTTGTTGTCGATAAAAGCCCGCCGCAGGGGGGGTGGTAAAATGCACAAGAATGCGGATGTTCAGAAAAACGAAGGAATAGGAAAAGGGGAGGGGGGAAATGAGCGTGCAGAAGGTATTCAGATAATGTCGTTTCGGAACTTGAGCCGAAGTGGTGTCGCTAATCGCGCCGCTGGTTTGTGGTTCTTGATGCGGTTGTTGAACCAACCACCAACTGTTAAACCTCAGGTTAGCTGGCCTTTTCGCAGGCCGAGAATGGAACTGGAACGAGGGGGTCACCGTCTGAGACCGTGCAGCGCCTGAGAGGCAGAAAATCCGGGGCAGCTTGGCAGCGAGCACTGCATGCGACACATTCAACGATGCGAGGCTGGTAATTTTCCAGTCCTGGTGATACGTACCGTAAAGTACCTTCTACTCTTGGGCTCTCTGTTAATGCCCCGGTTTATTCACAGCTCAAATCCGTCACCCCAACTAACAAAATTGGTTGACACAACACTCGTATCTTACAAAGTTTCCGAACTTTCGCCCTTGCTCGGTTGAATTCAAACAGAAGCTTTTGCTCGACTATTCGGCTTTTACAAGTACGACAGGGATCCTAGGAGCTTGCAATCAGTGCATGATGATGAGGTGCGGATTCCAAGATTGTAAAGCACAGCGCAGCTTGAACTCAAGTGGAACCAAAGCTAGCCAAGCTTGAGGCAATTGCCTGCCGGGAGAGAATAGCATACGATTTATCGATAAACGATAAGCGATAAGCTGCCCGTGGCTGGTGCAGCGACCCACTTGTTTGCTACTCCAAGTGCACTGTAGTCGCCGCCAATTGTCCCCAAGAACAACCAACACTCTCTTTCTCAAATTGTTTCACTGGTCGGATCTTTAATTGCCCAATCGACAAATCAACGCTTCATCATGGTGGGCTTCTCTTTCGGACTCAAAAAGGCCGCGTCCTCCTCAAAATCAGCGCCGGCTAAGAGGAAACCCGCGACCTTCGGCGGCGATGACGACGACGATAACACGACAGCTGGAGATGGCCAACCCAAGCCGCTTGCCGCCGTTGAAATCACGGAATTGGACCTACTCGACGACAACACGAGCACCCTTCTAGATATAGGAGACGATGATGATCGCAAATCGAAAAAGAAATCAAAGGGACTAGCACAACCACCACCACCCGTATCGGCAACAACAACATCATCATCATCCTCCTCAAACAAAAAAGCACCACCTCTCGTTGCGGCCCAACAATTCGGTGACCTCTCCTCCGCCCTCGAATCGCGCAAATACGCCCAAGCCGCCGCCGATGCGGACCCCTCCATCTATGACTATGACGCTGTCTACGACTCCTTCAAGGTTCCCCAAAGGAAGGAAAAAGAAGCCGACACCAAAGACAAGCGACCCCGGTACTTTGACGCTCTACAAAAAGCCGCCGAAACGCGCGAGCGTGACCGGGCGATCGCGGAGGAGAAGAAGCTAAAACGCGAGCGCGAGGCCGAAGGAGACGCGTTTGCCGATAAAGAGAAATTCGTCACGGAGGCGTATAAGCGCCAGCAGGAAGAGAACCGACGGCTGGAGGAAGAGGAGAAGAAGAGGGAGGAGGAAGAGGCCAAGAAGAACAAGAACAAGGGGTTGACGGACTTTTATAAGCAGATGCTGGAGAAGGAGGAGCTGGAGCATGCGGCCAAGATGAAGGCGGTAGAAGCGCGGGTTAAGGCTGGGACGGAAACTGCACAGCAGAAAGAGGGTGAAGCAAATGAAGAAGAAGAGGAGGACGCGGAAAAGAGGGCGGCGGAAAAGGCGAAGGAGATCAATGCCATGGGTGGCAACGTCATCATCAATGATGATGGTGAGGTGGTGGACAAGCGACAACTGCTCAAGGGCGGTTTGAACGTGGCGCCCAAAAAGAAGGTGGAACACCAGCAGGAGAAGGCTCGACAGGCCGCGAAGCCTGCTGCGGCATGCGGACCAGCTAAGGGTGTGTTCCATGGTGGCAGCAAGCAGGCGATGCGGGAGAGGCAGACGCGCATGCTGGAGGCTCAGCTTGAGGAGAAGCTTAAGCGGGCGAGAGAGGAGGAGGAAGAGGAGAGGAAGAAGGTTGAGCTGGTGGCCAAGAGCAGGAAGACCGAGGCGGACATCTCGAGCGCTAAGGAGCGGTACCTGGCGAGAAAGAGAGCGGCCGAGGAGGCGAAGAAGAAGGGCCTGGAGGAGGGTGCTGCGCCTTAGTTTCTGGTTTCAACCTGGTTCATTTTTCATTTTTGTTGATATGAGATACCCCTTTCTCTTTTTTTTTTTGTGGGAACCTGGTCAAGACCACGCCAGTCCCCAGTAAAAGCATATGCCAGAAGAAGGAAATATAAATGTTACTTTTCCAATGTCTATGCCCCGTTTCCTTCCCTTTCTACCTATACCATTCCCTTGCCCGTGATATATGCGCTGATCTAATGTTGATACACACGTACGTATACGGTACGGAAAACGATGTTGCCTCTCTATTTGGCCAATCCGGAAGCCGCTTCCTTTCGTTTCGATCCGTTCGTCCCTTGCGTATTCACTTCTCCAGCCTGTCCTGCCTGTCCTCATTGCAACTTCCAGCCATCAAACCTGCGAAGAGTTTCCGCACGCCACCACCCACCACCCCTCCAATATCGTCGTGCAGAGTGGTCTCCTTTCAGAAAACAGGCAAAGTTATTGAAGTTTGGTCCAGTCGGTCGGTTACAACAACGGTATCGGCATGGCGTTCGTTGACATTTATGACAATCGCACCCTTCTCGCTCTCGCTCTCCCCCTCACATCGCCATCAGCACTCGTAACTTGAAGGGTCTTTCTTGTCTTCCTCCTCTCCTCTCCTCTGACCTCTAGGTACTCTACTGGTTGCCCATCTCCTGCTGTATCCTGCGCAGATAAGTCGAGTTGACCACGTTCCACGCCGCCATGTACTTCTCGGTGCACTGGGCCACGCACGTCTTCTCGCTGGACGAGAGGGAGGAGCCGGGCTTGGGGACGCACGAGGTGAAGCAGTTTTCACCGATTTTCTGTTTTACAAAACAATCACAAAGTACTTTTATTAGCCATTATGTCTTTGAAAAGCTTGCTCGAGGAATGGGAGGGGAGGGGAGGGGGGCCGGGGAGCGTGGGAAATGGAAGACTAAAAAAAGAGAAGGTGACCAAAAGAAAGAAAGAGGTAGTACGTACCTCCATCAAAGTCCGCGCATTAGCCTGCTGGGACTCGATGAGGACCTGCTTGATGATGGCCTGCTTGACGGTCTCGGAGGTAGAGTCGGAACCCATGGTTGCAGTTTTGGGTTCGGGTATGGTGGTGGTTTGTTGTTATTAAAAGTGTAATGCCGGTGCTAGAAATCGTGCAGTGATGACGGCGTGGAATAATAACCGGACTTGCGAACGAATGAAGCTCCGGATGGATGCGCTGCTGCAAGCCGGGATCCTGGCAGTAGGTCGGTTCGAAATGTTTATCGATAGGTAGTACGCTATAGAGGTGTGGCGTTAGTGATCGCCATTGCTATTGCGGGTGGAAAAGGTGAGGCTGGTGCAGACTGCCAAGAGTTCTTTCCCGGCAGGCAAAGACCTGGAAAAGGGGGCCCCTTGACACTAACAACAAAACAACAACAACAATGGATTTGTCTCTGGTGTCGATGTGTAAGATGCAACAGTGAAATACATCGCAAGATAACTTGACCTTGCCTAACTGGTAAAAAATACGAATAACATGGCTCAACATCACAACTCAACGCTCCCACGCTATATGTACGCTCCATGTAGTACTCCATGTTGCTCTCAACAACTCAACTCCTCCTGCCCTGTGGTAACCCCCAGTCCCCATCACAACCTCAACGTCTTCTTAACCTTCACCAAAACAACACCCTCGCTCTCCATCCCCTTGGCATCCAGCAAATGCACAAACCGGTACCCCTCCCTCAACCGATCCAGCCTCACACAAGCCCACGCCGCCAACGAATCCCTTCCAATCTCATCATCCAGCACCAAAAACCTCACAAAGCTGAGCTCCGGGACAACACCAGGGATATTCTCGAATTTCAGTTCCGCACCACCATTCCCCTTCCCGCCCTGTACCTTGGACCCCGACCAATCCGGATCGCGCCCATACCCCTTTAGCGATTTCGTCTTGGCCTTGTACTCGCCTTCTTTCTCCTTGCCGTCTTGCGGGAGATCATCGGTGCCGTGGCGCTCGCCGGGCTCTTCAACGTGGAGTTCGACTTTGAGATACGGACGGAATGAGTCGATGTTGGTGTCTCCCGGGGGAAGCGGGAGGGATTGGGCGGCGAGGACCGAGATACTAAGGTCCATTGTGTAGTGCTGGACTGCGTCTGCTTGGGTGTCGGCTTCGGGGACCGGGTCGCTGCCGGTGAGTTTGGAGCAGCGGTAGCCTACATGGATGGGTCTTGTTAGTATTTCCACTAAATCCTTGACTTTGGAAGGGGGAGAGAAGTAACTGTACCGGCAGGTTTAAGCACATAACCCCCCGTCCCAGCAAACATGCCCTCATTCAGCATCATGCCCTCATCCCAATTCTGCCAGTTCAGCGCGACAATCTGGATCCCCTTTCGCCAAAACACGGCCGGGTCCAGGTTTGACGACAAAATGCGCATGCCAGACGGGTACGCCCGCATCAGGTAGCGCTTGTTATGCTCAAACAGCGCCCGCCGACTCTCCTTATGCACCTCCATCACCCCGCCCTCCGACAGAGAGAAAATGTGCGTCGGCATTTCGGCCTCGGGCTGCATCAGGCTCTTGAACGACACGCCGCGTGTGTAGATGCCCATCCTACTCAAGGCCCAGATGATCTTGGATGGCTTCTTCGCCGCCCGCTGCTTCGGCTGGCCTGGTTCTTCTGGTAGTCCCAAGGATGCATTGGCGACTGTGTTATCCAGGTCCTCGGGGGTCGTCGAGCCGCCCTCGTCGTGAGGTGGGGCGTACTTGACTTTCACGAGAATCTTTCCGCGCACCTCTTCGGGAGTGGGAAGACACTTGGCGTCTTCCTCTGGTTCCGGGAGGAGCAGGTCTCCCCAGGTTTGCCGCATAATGTCCACCATCCTCTCTTGCTGCTCGGCGCTGCAGTGCACCTCGAGACTGACGATCAGGGGTAAGTCGGTGGTGGCAAAGCCGTAGTCCTTGATAGCCTCGCACACGTCGCGGAAGGTGATGTCCTTGGTTAGCGTGTACCCGTGCAGCACTCGCGGCTCTTTGGTGCTCTTCCTGCTGAGTGTTGGGAATAGGGAGGCAGAGCCGCCGGTTTTGCTCTTCTCCAAGGGGTTGGTCGTATCCGCCGAGAGGCTTCCTGCTGGGGCGGCGGCCTCGTTGGTTGTTGCTGTCGCTGGCGTCGCCGCTACCGATGCCGCCCGTACCTCCGCCGCTGTCGTTCTTGTTGTTGTTGTTGTTGTGGTGGTGGTGGTGGTGGTGGTGGCGGCGTTGGGCTGCCGAATTTTCTTATCCTTGGACTTCTTCCTCCCACCAAGAAAGCTAGGCAGCTTACTCTTCGCTTTCCTCTTCATCTTGCTCGCCGTCCCCTCCTCCCCGCTACCATAAGCATCATCCGAGCTAGAGCTGGAACTGCTCGAAGTCACCGACGCGGCGTCGTCGTCATCATCATTACCATCCTCCGACTCCGAATCCGATCCATCCCAAACATCCACCTCAATGCAGCGGCACCCGCGCAACAGCACGTTCTTGTACGCATCTGCGCTCGACTCGCTAGACAGCTGGTTGCCCGTCAAATAAGTATTATGACTGGAACTAATAAAGTAGCTCGAAAGCGGGTAGCCAAGGTCCCGGGAATCGACATGCGGCGGCGCGATCGAGTTGGCGGCTGAGGAGGTGATGTACCGAACAAAGCTCTCGTAGTCCCAGTCCTGGTGAAGGGGAAAATCCCGAGCAAGCTCAGCCTCGTCGTCGCCTTGGCAGCACCGGAGCCAGACAGAGACATCCTCCTGGCGCCAGGCTTTGGTCACGCTGTCGGCATGTGCGTTGTAGATGCGTCGGAGATGCGCGGCGATTGCTGGGCTCAAGGTCTTGACCTTTTGCTCGGCGCCGGATAGGCCACCGCCGCCTTGGTGAGCTCCGTCAGGGAGATAGGACGCGCCTCCTCGGACAGTTGCGGACATTTTGGACTTGATTCGATGCATAAAACGGCCGGCAACCCGAGACAAAGACTGGGATGGGGGGGTGAAATTGAAAGAAAGTGTCTCTGTACGATGACAGAATGTGAGAAGAAGTGGTGCCGCGATGGTACAAGGAGGCAGCCGGAGAGCTAGCAAACAGGTCAGACCTCTAAGCTCACAATTCAGGGGACCCCGCGAACCCCGCTTGAAGCTGTTGATAGATGGCTGGTGAGGTTGACCTGGTGTTTGGGGGTGTTTGCTTTCTTCCGAGCTGTGGACTTGGGGACTGTTTCTTGGGTGAGAAGGAGGAAGGAAAGACAAGGTAAGAAAACAGAATGAGGTGGTAATTGGGTATAAATGACACCACAAGAACAGCTCAGTGCTTCAGGCTCCGCGATTCATCACGATCCATCGCCAACAACATTGTTGCTGGCTGTGCCTCCCCTCCCCCGTTGCCGTGGAAGCTCACAGCTCTTGGACTGCCCCTGGACCCCTTGGCTGCGTTTCGTCACCCCACAGGACCCCCTCCCGTCCCGCCCGGGTCTCATTGGCCAGTGGGGTCATCCCCTTGGCCAGCCATCAGATCGAAGTTCGAACAGCGCGAGATTGGCGCGGAATGGCGGCCGTTAGTGGTTCCAGGTCAGGGGTGCTAAGACCGGACTGCTGTTTCGTCTCAATTTGGCGTCGAAAGTTGGGTTGGGGACGGCGATAGCTTCAACTTCAACTGACAACAATGGGGCCTGTAGACAAAGCTGCCATGTTTAACAGAAACACTACCTACTAACTCCATGTGCTATGATGTTTACTACGCCTTTTTGAACCACACAGTTCCCGTTCGTTTTTTTCTCTGTAACCTATAAAGACGCTGGCACTCCAGGCAGTATTCTAGTGGTCTAGATCTAGGTATATCTATCGGACATGATAATACAGATACAATCGTGCCGGACCCTTAATCTTACAGTTCCCATCTTGGTAATTCCTTACAACCTTTTAAACTAGGGCCTGACCCATAAACATGCTCTCCTTAACCTCAGCAACGACATCCCTCCTATCATCCTTGCCCACCAACACGATACCCCTACCACGACGGTTCATGCGCCCGGCGCGGCCCAGCCTGTGGATGAAATCGATAGTCGTATGCGGCACATCGTACAACACGACAAAGCGCACAGCGAGGGTATCGATACCTCTGGACGCCAGATCCGTCGCCACAATGACCTTGGTATTGGGCAGATGTCTCCTGGTAGGGTTGCTGCTAAGGGCACTACTGGTCTTGCCTTCAGCAGAAGCAGCATCCTCAGAAGAAGCAGGCTTGCTAATCTTCATCGGCTCGTTCGAAGTAAAAGAGGCCAACATCTCCGACTTGCGGTGCTCCTCCGTGTCACGGTGCAGCGCGATGGCGTCGATGCCCTTGGATACCAGGTAATCGGCCACCTGCTGGGTGGTCTCGCGCTCGTTGACAAAGACCATGATGCGCTTGATGTCAATCTCTTTGTCTTTGGGCCCTTCGTGCTTGGCGGCCTCCTTGCCGATGGACCAGATGGCGTCGGCGCACGCGAGCATCTTGTTGTTGCGGTACGGGTCCTTGGATACGTCGATCACGCCGAGCTGCACGCGACGGGGGATGGCGTGCAGGTTGGGCGTGGTGATGCGGTTGATGTAGGGAAACTGCTCCTCCATGTAGGTGTCCAGGCGGCGCGGGATGGTGGCGGAGCAGAGGATCAGCTGCTTCAGCGAAGGCATGGCGCGGTCGACGATGCTGGTGGTGTCGCCCGAGAAACTGCGGTCGAGCAGCGAGTCGGCCTCGTCGATGACGAGGTGGGTGACGCGCGACAGAACGTTGGGATCCGACTTGGCGATGGTGGCGAGCAGGTGAGGAGTCGATACGATCATGTCCACGCCGATGGGGCTGTACAGGTTGCGCTGGTTCCTGAGCGGGCTGATGCTGGCGGACAAAGGTCGTACCTTGAACTTGGTGTAGTGAGCGAGCTTCTTGGCCACGCTGGTGACCTGGTCGACGAGCTCTGCCGTGGGAACGAGGATAACCACACGAGGCCGGGCTGTGTTGGGGTGAGGCTCGAACTTCTCGATCCACTCGGACACGGGCGCACCTCCACGATGTTCCTTCTCAGCAGCCAGACGCTCGTTGTAAGAGGTGACCAACTCATCCTCAGCATCACCCTTTTTTATGGCGTTGACGGCGGGAACCAAATATGCCAACGTCTTGCCAGATCCCGTCTCGGCAGCCAAAAGGAACTCCTCCCTGCCATTATCCGACTTTGGTCGCCTTGGCTTCTTCCCCATCGGCTGCCCTAGCAGAGCTGGAATAGCCAGTCTCTGTACGGGCGTGGGCTTGATCTCCGTCATTCCCTTGAGTGCCTCCTGCGCAATAGCCTCCTTCACCACCGGCAGCAGGTCGAACTGGTCGAAAGACTGGATCTCCTGCATCCGTTCCTTGATGCTTGCTCTTTGTCCGTAGCTGATGGTCGTGAGCGCACGCTGCATCTTCAGCGCCTTTTGTCCCTTGGTCTTCTTGTCCCTCTTGTCCCTCCTGTCGTCCTCCTCTACCGGCTTCGGTTTGGGTGCTTTGCGCGGGTCGATGTTCGCAACTCTTCGGTTCATGCCCGCCCAGGGGCCATCAGGTTTGTTCCGGGGTCTCTTGTTGGGCTCGCCGCCAGGGCCTCGTACTGGTGGTGGTCGGGCAACACGATCGGACAACACCATGCGCGAAGGGCGCTGCTCGCGCCGTGTCGTAAACGTTCTCTGGCCGACCCATGGCTCAAGGCTTGCTCTCGCTGAAGTTGTTGTGCTTGTCGTCGCCCCCGAACGGCATATGAGACACACTGAGTCCCTCGCTGTCTTCCACATTGTGTTGAGATTCCCGTGCGCCGACGGGTGTGGTGTCGAGATGTGCTGTCCGTCGTTTTGTGTTTGGCTGGTCCCGTCGTCGACAAAATTTTGGCAGGCGAATTTCGTTGATGATGAGGAGGGGCAAGCGCTACAGTAACAAACCAGTGGTGCTTATCGGCAATCTCAGTCTTCTGGACTGTTCTGCCACTGCTCACCACCTGTAGGCGTTTCTGCTTAGCGCTGTGTTCCAGGGGTCTCTTCAGCACCATCCCCCTGTAAAGGCCCCATGTCATTGTACACTAAACTCCCGTCATCATGGAAATGCCTTCACTTTCACCTAACAGGGAACAATCACATCACGATTTGGGGCAAGGAACGCAAGATATGAGTACTACTTATCGTAGGGATATTGACTATAGGGAATAACAAAACTCAACCATGTGCTAGGTTATCCTCTTCCTTCTTTTTTTTCGTTCATCAAAACAATCTCAGGAGCCCTTGTCGTATGTTTACCAACACGACTTGAACTCCGGGTACCACAGGTCATCGCATACTGTATCCATGTCTCATGTTCTTCGTAACCCATATACACCCATAACACGTCCCTGCATTAAAACAGATGGCTAATTCATTCGCTCCTAGCTGCGTTGGCTTGGATCTTCCACCATCCGACCCCCATGGCGACCGCGGCGGTGCCTGCTGCCAACAGCCTAAAGCAACACAGAGTCAATCGATAATCTGAATAAAGGTTATCGTCTGAGCTCAGTGTATGCCTTACGTCTGTCTTTTGCGGTTGCCCGCAATTCGGCTCAGGATACCGCCGATGAAGTCCACAATGATCAACTTGCAGAAGGTCGTGAACCATCCGCTCTTCGGGTCCTGCTTGATGACTGGGGCATCGTTGGGCGGCGGCGAGCTGGCCTGTGTTCCCTGTCCGCCTCTCTTTCTCACTGTGTTGGCGTTGTCTTTGTCCGCGCCTATTGCTGTGGCCGATGCCTCGGCCTCGCTACCGACACCAGCACCGGTAGCATCCGAGGCAGCAGCGGGCTCGTCGGTGCTCTCCTGAGCAGTGGGTTGAGAGGGCTTGAAGGAACGTTCCGTGGTTTCAGCGACAACCTCTGGGCTGGGAAGGAGGCCGTTTGTGGGCTTGGCATCCTCAGCTGCTGTGGGCTTAGGATCCTTAGGTGCTTGTTCTTCCTGAACTGTAGGCTCGACAGGCGCCTCGACCGAAACAGCGTGCGCCGAGACATCGGGAATATCCTGCACCTGAGACTCCAGCGTCTTGGTGGTGAGATCTTCAGTGGGCTCCGTCTTCTTCGGCGAGTCCGGGCTTAGAGAGATTCCTTCATCCTCGACAACCTCCCGAGGGGTAGCTTCGCCTGCCGTCGCCGTCTTGTGGGGAGGTGAAAGCTGAACAGTTGAGCTATCATCCTCCTTGCTGCTGGCCGGCTCATCGCTCTCCGAAATCGACTGCAGCGACAAGGCCGATGACTGAGCCGAGCTGACGGAGATACGAGGCGAATGGGGAACCTCTAGCCTCTTTACGGTGCGGGGGATCACGCTCGCGCCGAGAACGGTGTCGTGGGATACCTCGGACTCCCTTCGTGAAGTTGTCGAGCCGATGATAGGTGACGGAGGCGCGTCCTCGATAAGAACCTGGTCGGCCTCGAGACCAGTCTCAAGCTTCCGGACAGTATCGATGATCTCCTCGCGGTTGGATGGGAAGCGTTCTAGGGTGGGGTCGTTAATATCGATACTCTCCTCGTCGAGTAGGTCTTCCTCTCGGATCTCGTTGTCCTGGTCCACGTCCTCGGATACAATCGTGATCGAAGGTTCTTCGCCGTACATACCGGCGCACTCATGTGAGAAAAGAGCAGGGTTGTGGGGTCCGTCCTCGGCAGGGGTGGGGAGTTCGGAGTGGTCAGTCTCCGTGGTCTGTTTGTAGTGTTAGCTCACTGTAAACCATTTCAAAGCATTGAACAACCATTCTTACCCCGGTGTCCAAGTTCTTTGCAGTATCAGCGACCTCCGCAGCGGTATCGGCAACCTCCGCAGCGGGCGTATCCAAGTCCTTCGCGGTATCAGCAACTTCGGCAGCAGTGTCAGCAACTTCAGCAGCGGGTTCGTCCAAGTCCTTGGCGACATCAGCGACCTCCGCGGCAGTTTCCGAAACTTCGGCAATGGGCGTGGCAGACAGGCGACGGAAACCAGTCTTTCCAGCCTCCTCATCGGAGACACGATCCTCAGGTGTTCCTTCGTTAAGGAGTGCAGCAGAATCAGCGACCTCCGCCGCAGTCCTGGCAAATTTTGGCGTGACGGCACCGGACTGCGACTCGGTAACAGGCTCCGAGCGGCCGAGGATCTCCTTGGCCGCATTAGCGACAGGCCCGGGTTGCTCAGCAGCATCCTCCGCAACAGGAGTAGCCTCTTCAGCAGGTGCAGCCTTATCGAGAGTAGTCTCCTCGACAGGCTCAGTCTCCTTAACAGGAGCGGGCTCCTCAGCATCGGTGGCCTTGACGGCCTCAGCATAGGTAGCCTGGACAGGTTCAGCATCCTCGACAGGAGTGGCCTCCTCAACTGCAGCGGTCTCAACAGGGGCAGCATGAATAACAGGAGCAGTTTCTTCGGTGGAAGCGGCCTTTTCACCGGAAAGCTCTTCAGAGACAGGGGCGGCCTCCACAGGAGCCGGCTTGGCAGAAGTATCCTCAGAGGCACCAGTAGACTCCTCAACATGAGCAGTCTCAGTGGCAGGAGTAGTCTCCTCAGCAACCGTGACAGTCTCAGCAGCGGGGGTGGCCTCGGCAGCAGGAGCGGCTTCCTCAGACACCGAGGTGACCTTCTCGACTGGAGCGCTGTCCTCAACGGGGGCGGCCTTCTCAACAGGAGCAACATCGACAGCGGGAGCAATCTCCTTAGAAGGAGCACCTTCGGTCGCCACGGCAGCCTTATTAGCTTCAGAATCCTCTGCAACCGGAGCCGTCTCGACCGCCGGAGCAGTCTCTTCGGTCGGAGGGGCCTCAGCTTCCTGAGCAGCCTCAGTAGACTCTTGAGAAGCCTCGGCCTCTAGAGCTTCATGAGCAGCAGCTGCGTAGGTCTTGGCGAGAGTTTCCTCCTCGTGAGCCTTCTCCGACGCACCCTCCTCAGGAGCAGACTCCTTGGTGGGGTGTTCCTCTTGAGCAGTCTCATGAACGGTATGTTCCTCGACATCCTCCTTCTCAGTGGCCTCCTCCTTGGACTCAGCGATTGGATGGGCCTCTTCTTTAAGATCGGTCTTCTGAGGGGTGGTGTCCTCCTTCACTTCCACGTTGTCCTTGGTAGCCACGGCTTCGTGGACTTCCTCAGCGACATCCTCCTGGGTTGTCTGCTGTGTGGATTCTTCCTCGGTCGTCTGTTGGGTAATCTCATCCTGAGTAGTCTGTTGAGTAACCTCATCGTCGGTTTGGGTATCCTCGTGAGCAGTCTCCTGAGTGGCCTTGTCCTTGGTATCGTCCTCGTGGGCGGGCTTTTCCGAAGTCTCCTTGGTTATCTTCTCCTCAGTGGCCTCCTCTTCAGGGGCAGTCTCCTTCTCAGTAGGCTGTTCCTCAGTTGTATTTGAGGTGTCCTTCTGAACCTTATCTTCATGAGTGGGCGCAGACTCCTCCTTTTCTGTTTCCGCCAGAGAGGTCTCGTCCTTCGAAACGGTCTCGGCCTCTGGGAGGTCTTTCTCTGACACTGTAACTCCAGCCGCGACTGTCTCCTGGTCCTTGGAAACAGATTCCGGGGCAGGCGTATCGTGGGAAAGGTCTTTGCTCTGGTTGACCTCCTTGGACTCGGTGTCCTTGGCAGGAGTTTCCTCCTTCAGGGTTGCCTCAGCCTCGGGAGTGGTCTCGGCCTCTGGAGCAGCGGAGACAGTGTCTTCAGCTGGAGTGGCTTCCTCTTCTGTCTCAACTGGCGAGGTGCTCTCCTTCTTCACATCAGCCTTCTCGACGGGCGATTCCGCATCCGTCTCGGCTTCCTTCTTCTGCTCGACGTCGACCACGGTGGGCTCCTCGATCTTAGTCTCTTCATTCTCAACTGTAGGCTCAGCAGAGGTTTCCTTTTCAGCAGCAGGAGACTCCTTGGTTGCCGACTCGGCCTCTGGAGCAGTCTTGCGGGCGGGGACTTCTTCCTTCGCGGCCGCTTTCTGATGTTGAGAGTCTTCCGGCTTCGAGCTGATCTCCTCAACCACGGTTGCCGTCTCGACCTTGGTCTCCTCTGGGGCGGTCTCCTCCTCCTTAGAAGGTGTCTCAGGGGATGATGGAGCCTCGGCTGATGTTGAGACCTCGATGGGCGCAACGTTGCTCTCTGTAGAATCCTTGGTCTTGGTCTTGTCCTCTTCTTCCGAGAGTGCTTCATCCTTCAAGGTAGCCTCAGTAGTCGAAGGGGCATGGACCTTGGTTTCGGTGTGAGCCTCCGAGGTAGACTCGTCCTTTGCCGGAGTGTTGTCCTTTACATCAGCATTACTATGGGCAGCATCCTTTGCGGCAGGCGCGTCGGTGGTGGATACATCCACAACCTTGAGAACAACATCGTGCTCCGGAGGGCCCCCTGTCTCTGAGACTGCCGTGACTGTTGTAACGGTTTCCTTTTCTTGGGAAGCCTCAACCTCGGGAGCAGTCTCAGCCTTGGAAGCCTCCTCCTTAATCTCGGAAGGGTCTACATGATGTTGGGTGGTTCCATTTGTTTGCGGGGCATTCTCCTCTGCGGTCGCCTCGTCTTTGGGAAGGTCGTGCTTGGGTTCCTCCCTAGATACGGTGTACAGGTTAGTAGCTGGTACCCATGACAAGGACAGGGCAGTCTTGCACCTACTTTGGCGGGTGTTGGAACTCCAACTCGTTGTTTCTGAATCCAGAACTGTCTGTGACGGTGGGCGCACCTTCGTCAAGGACCCACCAGTCGCCCAAGCCGATGCGGAACTTGTAGACTACCTTGGATCCGGGTACACCCGAGATTTCTTTGGTGAAGACATGTTCTCCATCAGCACCGGTGGTGCAGTCCATCTCCTGAGGTTGCCATTCTGGCTCAGAGAAAGAGCCAGCGATAAAGAGTGGCGGCTGAGTGCCGGGTGACCGGAATGTAATGGTTGTAGACACCTTGTTGGAAGCCATGGTTTAGGTTTTGGGGGGTTTCGATGGATGGAAAGTGTGGGGAGTTGGAATAATATGAGACTATTGGGTCATTGGCCCGGATGCCCAAATGCTGTGCACCGATAAAATAAAGTGATAGCTCCGGAAAGAGCGCTTTAGGATAGCTTTGTAGGATGGCAGCGATTTGACGTTGGCTGCTGGTTCGTAGCTAACGTCGCACAGGCCTTTTTGATGGAATCAACCAGCTGCTCGAATCATGGTGGTTAGCAACGCGCATCATCTTGTTATTGTTGTTGTTGTTGTTGTTGTTTTTATTGAGTTCTAAGCCCTTGATGGCTTGCGACAACCGTAATGACAAGTGAGATCATGGGAGTGAATGTTAAACAACGAGGAAGCGAAGGTGCGCAACACATAGAAGAACAGAAGCTCAAACTCGAAGCTCGAAGCTTGAAGCTCGAAGCTCTTCTCCATGTTGTTGCTTGGGGTGGTGGGCTGATGATCCATCGATGTGCTTGTGCTTGACTCGGAGGAGTGAAGTGCGGGGTTTGGGGATTTGCTTGGGTTGGTAGGTACCTTTGATGTCTCTCTTCAGAGTGTCTGTCGTAAGCTCAGCCTCGACCAGATCGTGACGTCTAGAAAAGCAAGAGTCGAATACAGCGCAACGAGCGGCAAGAGGATGACAAGCGTTGAACGAACAGCGGTTTGCAGAAAGATGTGGGATGGATGGGTGTTCCAAGGCTGCCAGCGAAATGTGCAGGTCGAACAGCTGAGGTGCTGGTTGGGAAAATGGGAGGGGGAAAGAAATCGGACGGACAACTCACCACTGGAGCCGATCAGCTTGGAGGCAGTCGGCGTTATTTAGGCAGGCAGACCAGATCCAAGATAAGGGCCTGAAGTTCTTGGGTGGTATTGGCTGTGGAGGGAGGGAAAGATGGATACCGTTGTTTTTTATGGATACTGTGTGTGCTGTGTGCAGTGCTTGACTGGTAAGGTGCGTGCTTGGGTGCAGTGGTGGTGTTCGAGAGGTGCAGTGCGTGTGAAGCCCCTCACTGGCAGGTCATGACGCGCGGGGAAGCAGAAATGGTCGAGGCAGGTGGATGGGCGAGATGGGGACGGGACCTTGGAGGCTGGCTTGGGCTGCAGACCAGAGAAAGTGGAATCTCCCTCTTCAAGTCTGTTTTCCTACCTCCCGTCATATGCTTCCGTGGTATGGATGATGGATAATTCAAAGTCGCTACACTAGGAACTGTCGCAGTGCAACCCATTACGCAATTCATCTACGGAAATGGCAGCATCTCGTTCGATGGTTGTTATCGACTTATCATGGTCAGAATGGACGCCCGTTCCTAGGTAGGTTGACCGGTGCTGCGGACAAGGGAAGGCGGCTAGGTAGGTGGCTGTGGGTAAGCAAGTACGGCAGGCGGGGAGCTTCACAGATCACCATGTACACTGCTGCACTAACGCCGTACAACTGTCCCGAAATCCAGATCCAGGGAAAATGGAAAGGCTTGAAGAACGCAAACAACAAACCTACACTCGTTTTGTTGTTTGTTTGTTTTTTTTGAACGGTTCGTCGTTCTTCCTCAAGCATACTTCCAAGAAGTTGTAGCCCATCCGCAACCGTCCCGACATGGATGTGTTCCTTGCTTCGACTGCCTTACATTACAGAGGTACCCTTGCTTGTGAACGCTGCCACAAAGATAAACGAACTGAACACACCTTCCCGTCCCTCTCTTCTTGGGGTCTAAGTCCGACCGAACCAAGTGGCAAGTGGTGGTGCCACAACATTACGCGAACGAGGAAGACCAAGGCCAGAAACACAAATCCAATTGCACTCCTCAGTTCTGGTTTGCACCCTTTGCACGTCGGGCGCAATTGATAGGCTGATGGCATTCTTGTTGAGAAAACAGCAGGGCACACCGCAAGAAACATTTTTGAAAAACTCTTCATCAATCTCAAGTTTAGTTTAGCTGCACTCGAGCCGCATTGCCGCACATATCCCTAACTTGTGGCCATTCTCGTCTTGTGATTTGTCGATTTGGTTGATGCAGAAATGCAGAAAAAGACGCTACAAAAAGTCCAGATGCTCAACTGACAAAAGCAAAAGAGCTTGGCTTGTCACCACGCTAAACGCACGGGCTCCTCGAGGTGCAGATCCCCCGCATTGAAGGTGGACATTTGCCAGGTTGGCGTCATGGATCTTTAAGTGGTTCGAGTGGGCATTTGGGGCGGTGAGAGCTGACACAAAGGTTTATGCCTTGAACAACCGCCTTTTGTTCTGGCGCCTCCCTTCACATGCCTACCCTTGCTGTGAACTACATTCTTATCAATAGGGCGATCGTTCACTGATAAGAACCATAATTCTGACGTGCAAGGTTATGGTTGTCTCAGATTCCATCTCAAAACTTTACCACTCGGCGGGCATCAAGGTCCATGACCCATCAGCATTTTCCATTTGAACATTGAACAGGGACGGGAGTGAATTCACCTTGCAACCTTTTTATCCTTGCCGGACAGTCAAGATTTCACAACCGTTTCTTAATATAGTCTGACAAATCAACAACCCCGCAACAGGTATTTCAGCATTATCCAACCACGAAATCGACTGAACCAATTCCTTACCCATTTCTCACCAATCTCGAGAACAAGCAACAACAAACTTATCCGAGATCACCTCCCGAATCCGATACCTTGCCGTGTTCAATCCACAACAGGATCGACGCCGCAATCAGCAATCAGCAATCCAACCGCAAACTCCCTGCTCAATTGACGTTAGGGAACCACGCCTTTGGTCGACATGTCGGTTTTCCTGCCCCCCGAGACCATCACGGTCAAGCGCAAGCGTGGTGCCGAAGACGCGCCTGTCGAGTTCCTGAGTATGTTACCCCCAACAAGTTCTCGTCCATTCCTCATTGCAATGCTAACTACTGGTATCAGGGGTCGAGGGAAGCAAGCGTTCTCGCAACCTCAATGGAGAAGGCAGCTGGGTATATCGGCGCAAACAAGAAACAGACAACACCAATTCCCAGCCAGCCGTACCGACCATCCAGACGACGCAAGAAGGCGATGAGAAGAGACGCATTATCAAGCCTCTACCCCGTCCGAGATCGCAAATAATTTCTCCCAAGCCTGACGCCACACCATCCACCGAGCCTACAAATGAACCCGCTCTTCGACGATTCCACTTGTCCAAAAGCATTGTGTCGCAAGCCGCAACATCGGGACCCGTGTCCAAGAAGCGCGCCAGCACCGCCGTCTTCGTCGAGCGGAGTGCTAAGCGGAAGTCACTTCACGACAATCAACCTCTCGAGCAGTCGAAACCAGCGAACGTCCAAAATGGCCCAGCCGCCGTTCAGCCCAAGCCCTCGACCGGCTACACCTACCAGGCGCCTCCTCCAGCCGACCCCAACGGCACCGGCGCAAAGCGATCATTCAGGCGACCTGGCACCAGGCGCTCCCAACCCGCGGGCGAGTCGAAAGCCGGAACATCTCACCCTGCTCTTCCCCCGTCACTGGTCAACCGCAATGTCAACGTCGACATGGATCAGCTCGCCCAGGATATGGACGCCTACACACTCAGTGCCATCACTAGCCACCTGAGCAAGTTAGATGAGGCAAGCGCCAAGGAAGCAGAGAAGAAATCCAAGTTCAAGCCCAAGGCTCCCGCGCTGAGGTACGCGCAACGACACCCGGAGGCTGCGGCTGCGGCTGCTCCTGCCACTCAAGCTGCTGCTTCTACGTCTGCGCAACCGCCGGTGGATGATGATGTGGACATCGAGATGCTCGACACCTCGGACGATGAGGATTACGTCATCGAGCAATACTACCGAGTGCCCGCCAGCCGGCTCAACGAGGAAGAGGTTGCAGCTACGCAGGTCGGTCTGCTGGTGTTCGATTCGGAGCCCGACAAGATCGAGTTCTTCTTTGGCACGGAGGATGATGACGAGTATGAGTTCCCGGAGGATGAAGATGACGAGAACCACGAGAACTACTACGCAGCCGACTACCCAGACGAAGACCTCGAGTGGGACGATGAACTTGACCGCAACCCGTACGAGTACCGCACAGGCAACGCCTCGGACAGGGAGGAGTTCGACGCGGAGCTGGATGACAACGACGACGATGACTTTGTCGAAGCTGACGAGAGGTTCATGGACCATGTCTGGCAAACTAGTAGTGAGATGGCAGACATGGTTACGTATGCGAGGGGGTATGATGGTGATAGGCCGGAGCCTGCGGTGGCTGGGTTCCCGAGGGGGTTTCCTTATGAATAGGATTCATAGAGATATGTCGCTCTTCGGAGTTCAGTTGAGGGAATTGAACTGCAACGGCTCCAGGCAGTGAGTGGAGTGTAGGATTATAAGATACCCGAACGAGGAGGAAAGGAGGAGGTGGAACGGAGTATGGATTGGCAATAACCAGATTACGATTGTATTCTCAAACTGTATTATTCGGTTATTCTATAGGTCATTATTCTCTTGTTATACAGCTTAGGCAAAGGGAAGACTGCAAAGCAAGCTATGGAAAAGACCGGGTGGTGTTTGTGTTATCGACACCACAGTATAGCGGATAGAGGTACCTTCGTCATTAGCCCTATTCATATCAGCTCAACAAACGATTCGGTAAAATGCTCTTCTCTCGCTTTGACTGCGATACTGGGGTAAAAGGGCAGTGCAGTGCGCCTTGACCCAATCAACTTCAAAGATTGACCGAACACGAAGACATACATTTATAGAACGAACAAATGTTACTTTTACTTACTTTGGGGTACGTACGAGGAACATATTTCTTCGTTGCTTTATATAAAAAGAATCTCGATATATATACGTACAACAACATGACTGACTGACTGACTGACAGACTGACTGCTTGCCTATGAACAGATCAAAGCCAAACCAGAATAATGTGCTACCACAGATGATCTAGACAAAGACCGCGTATAAAGTTTGAAGAGAAAGTAAACCCAAGTATAAATGACGGATAGATGAGATCAGATCAAACGCAACGAAGTTGTTGACAACCTCCCCGTCTGTGTCATCTTCAAAGGACTTGGTGCCAACTTCTTCTCACCTCTGTCTTCTCTCTATTTGGCCCAGTGCAACCGCTCCGAATCTCCTGTACCCTTTATAAACGCCTCAACCATGCCCACGCTCAAACCTGTACCCAAACCCACAAAATGCCACAAACATACATACGCTTCTTATATACGGGCCCATCCCATCCCATCCCATCCTAAATCGACAAAAGGCCTCTAAAAGGGCCCAACAAGAAAAATCCCACAGACAGCAAGCTCTTTATACACAACCTCCTTTCCAAGAAAAAATAAGATTCACATAACAGCACAACTAACAGTCCCCCTCCCCCTCTCCCTCCTCCTTCCTCCACCTCCAGCTCCAGCTCCTCCCCACTGCCCCTGGCCCCCATCCCCATCGCCATCAGCCCAGATACTTCCAACACCACCACCCTCCTCATCAGCATGCACCATCGCCGCCTCCCTCGCTCTCCTCCTCCTGCGTCTGCGACCAGCTCCGTCACCACCCGCTCGCTCTTCCTCTTCGGCTTGCATGTACTGCGCCCACTTGGCTTCGAGACGACGGGCCGAAGGGAAAGCACCGCGCAGGACGCGCTTGGTGTGCTCGTCTACGGTTTGTTGCCAGCCGTAGTAGCATTTGAGGGCGATGGTTTCTGTGGGCGGGGAGATGCGTGTGGAGGTAGTTGTAGTGACGGAGAGGGCGGCGGGGATGGTGGTCGTTGTTACGACAGTGTCAGATTTGGAGTCGGCGGTGGCGGTGTCAAAGATGGATGTGGTGAGGTCGGAAGTGGATGGTTGTGTGGTAGATGAGATGGAAAGAGCGGCGGCAGCGGTGGTTGTGGAGGTTCTGGTATTGGTATTGGTATTGGTACTGGTAGTGGGAACGGAAATCTTCATGGGCTCGGTATTTCGGCTGAGGACTTCGCGGATTCCGGTCCAAGTGACGTTGCCGCAGTCGTAGACGGTTAGGTGTAGGGTGACGTTGGGTAAGACTGGGTTGTTGAGAGACTGCTGCTGCAGCAGCTGGTGAGGGTTGAGAGAGGAGATAATAGCCCGACACTTGGCGTCCATCGCACGCTGGCGGACCATGGAGGCTGCTTCGGCCAGGACCAGGTCGCTGATGCGCGTGTTATCCATGATCACGCTGCGGAGCGACGTGCAAGCGCGGAAGACGGGTAGCATGCCCGTGTCGCCCAGGTTGCCGCAGTAGCCGATGCTGAGGTGTTCGAGCTTGCTGGCGCAGGGCGCTTTGGCGAGGTGTTCGGATAGGAGAGAGTTGGTCAGTTCGCCGAGGTCTTCCAGTTCGAGGTGTGTGAGGCGGGGAGTAGACGCCAGGATCGATTCCAGTGCGGAGTCGGTCAGGGCTGTGATGCCGGAGAGGATGAGACCTTCGAGCTCGGGAACCAGGTGGCCTAGGGACTTGACACCCTGGCTGGTGAGACGATTGCAGCGGGAAAGATCGAGGTGACGAAGTTTTCGAGGCGACACCATGGGGTTGTTTGTGAGAATGTCAATTTCGGGATCCTCCCCGTGCATCATGGTTTGTAACGCAGCGTCACTCAGGTCCTCACACCCGGCCAGGACGAGGCGTTCGAGGTTGTTGGTTGTGAAGATGGATTTTGCGACCTCCAGGTCCTTGAATCCCTTGACCTCGCCGACTCGCAGGTCTTTGAGCTTCGGGCATCCTTCTACCACGGTCTGGATGGCCTTAGCATCCATGTGTTTGCACCAGGAGACGTTCAGCATCTCCAACTGCGGGCAGGACTCGGCAATGAGTCTGAGTGTCGTGTTGCAGACGGCTGGCAACCCAGTGAGATTGAGGTTGACAAGTCTGTTGTTCCTCTTAATCAAATCGTGTAATGTCTGCCGTTGGAGGTTTCGGCAGCCTTCCAAGGTAGCGTTGACCAGATTCCGAGAAGCTTTCACCACCATCTCTGCACGTCGGTGATGTTCCAGCTGCACGCATCCTCGGAGGTTGAGGTCCTTAATGAACGAGCCTGCCGAAACAATGATTTGGGCCAAGGCCTCAGCCGGAATCTGTTGATAAAACTCGGAAGCGTCACATCTGGTCCAAAGCTGCCCATCATAGCACATGTTGTAGAACTCCTTGCTGACCCGCGATGTGCGCACAAGCTCCTTGGGGCTAAGAAATGAGAGGACATGGATTCTGATTTCATGCGGCATGTTGGCCCAAAGGTTGAATGCCGTTAACCTTTTCTTGTGATGAGGCAAGGCGATGGAAGTCGTCGTGTGGATGGGATGGCCGACTTTGCGGGCCGCCAGCATAGGATCCGAAACATCGCAACCGGGCGTGTCGAGTCCTGGGGTAGTCGGAGCCGTAGAAGGAACGCTGGAAGAAACCGAGGAAAATCCATGGGAGAAGTAGGAAGAGCTGATGCTGGCTTGGCCAAACGGAGATGGCGCATTGGGCGTGGCCAGACTAACGCATGACAGAGTGCCATGGCCGTGGTAGGGACTGCTCGATGACCTCTGGCGTTGAAAGGGAGCCAAGGCTGGTGATGATGAAATACGCTGGAGACCTCGGAGCAGCTTTTGGCGGCCTTTGCTCTTTTCCCTCATTTCCCTCAATCCTTCTCCGTTTTCTAGTAGGCCATTGGTGGCCGACCTGGGCGTTGACGGCCTGCTTGGTTGTGAATCCATGATAGGAACGAGTGTGGTTGGTTACCGCGAGTTCGCCGTGTAAGTGATTGAAACCGACTCGATGTAACTTGGAAAGACTCGAAACGGGCACTTGATACAAGTCGGTGTTATCTGCCCTTTTAACTGACTGGGTGCCGACAGACCAAGAAATATTTCCAGCAGTGGAGATGGGCAAGACGAGCGGTGGCGCTTGTCGAGTAGGGACCCAAACTTCAAATAGTGTGCTCGTCTCTCCACGATGGTGATGGTGTGTGGGGTCCGGCCAGGCTGGCGGACAGAGCGAGTAAGGGACACTGACAAACGATAGCCAATGGATCGCCTGAACAGACAACAGAAGCAAGGTGACCAGGGGCTCGGGACAAACGGGATCGAACAAAGAACGGAAGGAGGTCCAGCGATGAGTGAAGGAGGCACACCCTCTCCGAGACCGGCTCTGACTATAAACCCATGAATTGTGTGTGAGAGAGGCGGAGGATCGACAGCTCGGTGACGGGAAGTGTTCTCCCAATTGTTCCGGTGCAGGGGCCCCAGAAAATCTCGCTGGCTTATTGTTTCCAAACTCGCAGAGCTCGGCCGTCCGCTCGAAGATCAACAGTGCGGGGAGGGGCAAGAGAAGGGGGGGGAGGGGGCCTTTCAGGGGTATGTCTGTTGGAGACGACGGGGAGGGGGAAAGGTCGGGATATCGGGACCTGTGAATATTGGATCCAGCCTTTTGGGATTCCACACTTTGTCTGTGTTTCTTGTATAAGTCTACCAACACTGTTTGTAATTGTCGGTAGTTCCGTTGTGAGCTGTGATGATATTATTCGAATAGTAGCCAGTCAACGGTTGAGTCGTTGTTGTCGTACTGGTGTCGTTTAAGTCGTTCTCACTCCGGTTACACGTATATAAGCGAAGGAACTGTTCCTTGGGGATGGATCGGCAGAAAGAAGAGATAAAAGTTCAAGAGGAACTGGGCCGGATGATCTCGAGGACGTAAAGGGGAAGATAAACAGAGGTAAGCTGACAGAAAGCAAGGTGCCCTGCATCTAGCAGATGACACCGGGCCACGGTATCCTACGCTAGCAAAGGTGAGAGGGAGAAAAAAAAGACGCGGTTTCCTGTGATATTGGATGGACAGCCGTGAAAGGCAGGAGGGTCTTGCGGTTATTTTCCCGGGTGACACGACATATGATGAGGTCCCTTATCGCATATTGGGCAGCCAGCTGAGCGGATTGGGGATGTGTGAGAGGGCAGCACTGGCTGGACCCGGGGGGAGGGGGCGGCCGAGGTGAGTGGCCGATTGGAGATGGGAAGCCCCAGGTGGTGTGTGCATGGTGGGGAGAGATAGGTACAGCTGGCATCCGGACTTGAAGGGATCACCGAGACCAGCAGTATGTCGACATGTCTGCATGGTGTAGATGTACGTATCATGGCAGTCTGTCACGCCTGTGCTTGGTACATACTATTCTCATCTTCTACCTGCCACGCCTCTGTCAGACTGATGAGAAACAGACATCAAAACACGAGGCCTTGAGGCATTGATCTGGCTTGACGGGGATGGCAGGGACGGGCGGCGAGGGCGTGCTGCCTGGCTTCCATTCTCGAAGGCGGGCAGGCGAGGGCTGAATGGAGGTGTGGGATGATCCAGGCCGGATCCATTGTTCCATATCGGACATGCCAGAATCCCATTTTTCAGGATTCGATGGGTTCTCCTGGGCGGAACCACATATGACCATGCCGGCGTGCCACCTGGGCCGCTTGCTGGTTTTTAAGGGTCCAAGGGGTCTTGCAACGCCTCGAGCACGCACAAAGCTAGCGCTGCTGACCCTCCCCACCAGACCCCTCTGGGTTGGCGGCTAATCACTTTCCGTCCCGGTCCCTCGCTTGGGACGGGCATTTGACCGAGCCTTCTGACAACCATTCACTTATAACAAAGATGGGGTTGGTGTGCTTGTGTTGCCTTGTTCCTGTGTGACGCCGTTAAAGTTTTTCCTTCTTTATGTTGTACTTGCTCCTGTCAAGTCACTCGTGTCAGTTGCACTCGGATAATACCTATGTGTGCCTGGTGTGTATAAGCTTTCTGTGTAAGTTGCTGTTCAAATGAGATGAAACTCGGCAATGTTGATGTTTGGCAGAAATGGAAAAAGAGAAACCGACGATTCAGGTGGATCAGCAATGCCCCGCTCAGTCGTGCAGTCCCCACTGTATGCGCTCAACGTTCCCCACTGAGGCGAAAAGCACAGACATCTCAGGAACGTCCAGACGGGAATCCGGGGACCCTTGACGGTGGCAGTGATAGTGGGGCATTGTCCGTGTTCTTTGACGTTTCCGATGGAAGCTTTGAAGGTTGAAGATAACCCCATCATCAAAATACCACCACGTTCACTTAGCTTGATGGGATAGCGATTGACTCCATATATATTCTCGAGAAGAAACCGATCCGACCATGTAGGACCATTGTTGAGCACAGTCGGCCTGAAGCGTATCTGGAATAGCACATCGGATTCAAGACGTACCTTCCACGGCGAGTATGTACGGGTAGGTATAGCCTCAATGTGTGTTTCCAACAGCATGTATTGTCCGGTCTCGACTTTCAACTGTTTCCGACTATTTAGTCATGACGAGCACGCGGAACCGCGAAACTCGCAAAAAGTCAACCTTGGGCACCATAAGACGGCACTCAAGAGCCATTGTCATACCCATAATCAAAGCAACTACAAGTGTACCATCTCGTGTCGACACCGCCAATACTAGCTCATTTCTATGACGAGCTGTATCTCACATCACGATACAGCCATAGGGCTGGGCTGGTGGATGGCACAACGGTCAGGTGGGAACTCTTGAGGGTAGCTTATCACACGACACTCGGCTCTGCTGACTGTACTAGTGGAAACAGAAGAAAACGACGACGGTAACAAGGAACGAGCACGAGATGTGAGCATTACTTAATCTCAAAACAATTCCCTCTCCAAGTCGATCCAGCTGACCTTGGTTTTTTTTCGCATAGCAGATTGTGTTGCAGGATTGAGGGTTTGAAGATGCTATGCGGACTGTAACTGAGTGAGTTTGAGTCGTTTCAGCAACGATTGATCACGGTGATGGCTATGCAGGTATAAACACGAATCGTCCCCTGCCGGATCTTGTCCCGTTCAGATAAGTACCGGCCCGGAATCCGACTTTGGCGGTTCTTCATCCCGCCTCCCCGCCAAGCCGCTGACTTACACGGGCTGTCGGGCTAGCGCGGCAACGTTGGGAACTTGCCGCTGGCATGGAACTGGAGAAGTGTACCTAGAGGAGCAAATGCCGGACAACACCAACGGCAAATGTGGGGGTCACGGTCATCCGGACTTGGATTCCCGATGAACCGTCCGTCCGGCCGAGTGTCCGTTCAGTCCCAAGTTGCGACCGAGGAATCGTCCCGTCCGCCTCCCGAGCCGGGATTCCCGCCGGGGCGCTATTGCCCGCGCCGAGCGATAGTGGGGACCCACCGGTCGGAGTTAACCCGAACCACCATCGGTAGTTGGCCTGCCAGTGCCAAGTGCCCAAGTCCCGCGCCCAGAGACAGAACACGAGAAGCCACCAACCTCGGCGGTTTATTTACTCAACTTGACGATCACTGGAAATATAAACGAGAGTTCTAACGAGTTGGCATTCTTCCAAGACTCGCTCATCTTTCTCACGTGCTTGATATTGGAACAATCAAGGCAAAGAATCTTTTAACCGAAGCGTAAGTTGGTGGTGATGATGCCTTGTCATGTCTTGCGTGTGCCGTGTTTTGGCTTTGTCGATCAAATCTCTTTGAGACAATGCTGCGATGCACCGTGGCTGCGTGGTTGTTTCCATTGTTGGGTTTCCCCTTGGAAGCCCGAATGAAAGACACAATTCGGAGCCTCCAAGTCCAAATCAGGGGTGTTTAGCAAAAAAGCCCAGGATGCCAATATAGGCCAATGGTCTCATGATGAAATAGGCAGTCATCTATGAACAGCATCGAGAGCCCTGTATTCCAACAAGTGACAAAAACCAACAAGCATGGAACTTGAGAGAGCAAAAACATGCAGTGTAGTCTGACGACTGGTGGTTGCCCGTCCCACTTGGAAAACTGAAAGCTTCATATCAAGATCACGACCTGAGGCGAACACACAGTATGCCTTGGTTGGGTATCGACTGTACTCAAGTTAAGTTGCGCTGCACAACCAGAAAAAAAGTTCAACATCTCGTATACGTCTTTCATATGCTTCTCAACTCAAGTCAACAAATGATGTCTATTTCAAATATCACGCACTCCTAGCAGAGAAGCCTCATTTGCTCCAATGCCAGAAAACCACATGCTGATGCCTGGCAGCCCAAGAATGGGCCCCGGCCGTGTGTTCTATGTGTAGTGTATCGCTGCAGTGATATGGAAGGTGAGGACCGTGTAGACAGCACTGTATCTATCCCAATAGTCCCGCGTGGGTGGCCATGGATGATGGGTCGGACGGGGACCCTCTTGTGTTGAGATTCTTCTCCATCTTTGGGCGCCTGTCCAGGTCGTCATGCCTTGCATTGCATGGCCTCCAGTTCGTACTGCCACTAAACTAACGGGCGGGTTCAGACGGGGAGGCGTGACAGGTCAAAGTCTTCAAGCCATCCAAAAAATCGTTTGTTTAAAAGCCTCTCTTCTTCTTGCTGTGTACCTACTGTTGCAAGAATCGAAAGCATACAAAGCCAGCCACGACGTACGCTTCGAGTTGGGCTGAGTGTTTTCATCTATTAATACAAGTCCAGTATCTGTCTCCAGACAGTTGCTCCACTGAGTAACAAAGTTTGAAACCCAAAAGGGACAGAGAGATCAGAGAACTGAACCTGGGCAGCACCAGCTCGTCGGGTATACAAGTCGTCACAGTTGCGCCATCAGTGCAGCCCAACGGATCCCATTCTCTCAAGTCTGGAGCTTGGAGTGAAGACCACACCAACTATTCCAATTGATACCTATAGGCTGGAAGACACACCCAAGACGGTCTAGATACCTCTGCTACCTA